GACATCAGCTGACATTGACAACATCAGCATAACCTCAAAGCAACACAGCAATATCCAAAGAAGCCTTTATGGCAGAAAAATCACAAGAACACATCTTTTGAATAATCCAACAGAATTATTTATTTCTACACAACAGTGCAATATTATTATAATTGTTTACACTCATTAAACCTTGTTTTAAAATAAATATATAATATTTTTCAGCCTTGTCCGTTATTGATTTCCTTTAAAATTATCCTGCCGAGAGACTAATCCACTGAACTATTGAATTGGCAGTTCGAGCCATAAGCTAACCCTTTAAATCTGAACATTACTAATCGTAAAATAATATACTAAATACGAAGTATAATTACTGTCTGGGATCAGACTAAAAGCCTCCCTGTGATGGTGGGTGGAGGTATTGCTGGCAAGTGGAAGGGACAATGCAATAATTCAACACTGCCTTTGAATGTAGTGTCTTTCCATTTATTGAATATAATAATATAATAAATAGTCAGTGGTCTATTAATGTAGAATTAAATGTATGATGTAGCGGTCTGATGGAGGGAGGATATCCGTGTCACGTCACTGCTTGACGGGTGGGAGGATTCCTCGTACCGAATACCAGCTATTAGTATAACTGGTTACTTAGTTGGTGGGAACCGTGTATTAGTGATCAGTAAGAACGTGTGTAATATCGTAGCTTACGTGAGTGGAGTCGATCTCAGTTGCATTGATGGTACGTAAGAACGTGTGTAATAGCCTGGCTTACGTGTGTTGAGGTCGATCCGTGTAGTAGCGTTGGTAGGCCGAGTGAGCTTGGCTTCCGTTGAACTGTAGTCGATCTCTGCAGCGTTGGTGGGCCGAGTGAGCTTGGCTTCCGTTAGGCTGGAGTCGATCTGTGCAGTGTTGGGTGTCCGAAACTAGCTTGGCTTTCGTTGAGCTGAGTTCGATCTGTAGGACGGCGATCCGATCTTGATGAATGCTTGATTGAACTAGTAAGAGAGCGAGAGCGTCAAGCGCGTCTCCTTAAATATCCTAGCACAGGCTTGCGATTCCGGTGAATTCTGGATCACTCTCGTCATGCTGATTGTTAGAGTGACGTCACTATAATCTAGCCTTAGAGAGTTCGTCGGCCCTTGTTAGTCGGAATTGTAATGTAATTTCGACTATTTGAGTAGTGAAGTTTCCCGATTTCGTAGAATCGTGTTTATGACTCGGCGCGCAATGTTTCGACCTAATCACAGGTGTCTTTGTATACATTACTACCTCTTCATTTTGTTGGAAATCACTACCTCTCCCACTTTGTTTACCGTGCAAATTGCTGTAATCAGTAACAATTAAAATTAGCGAATAATTTTATTATATATAATATTATATATATTAGAATTCAAAATTAATGAAAATAATGATATGATCAAGTTCATTTGAATAAGATATTGGTTATTTTTAAAAAACTGAAATAGACAATTTTAATAAGAATAAATATATCATAAATAATAGGCCTATTATATGAGTAGATTTTATCAATATTTAGATTAATTCAATAAAATAATTTTGAATTTAGTGCAACCTAGTAAAGCAATTACTATTGCTATCTTACTATTAAATTACCCTTTTTAAAATTAAATTTATGTATAAATGTAAAAACACTAAATTAAACTACTATTAAAAATTTGAATTTTACAACTTAAAAATTCTTTTGGTAATTACTTAGTTCAGAGGTGCTTAGTTTAAGCTTTCTAACCCTATGAATATTAAGTATTGGATTCGATAATACAAAGTTGACTTATACTATAATATCTAACTTACATTTATCAAACACAATAAAAGTATATGTTTAACGGAATCGAAGTAGAGACTGCGTGAACAGTATTGACGTCACATTTTAAGATATATACACATATACTTGTTTATTTGTGACTAAATTAGAGCTTATCTAGTTTATTTTTATCCAGACTTATTTATTTCAACATGATAACTAAACTGTTGTTTCTAAAAAAAATTGTACTGGATTAACCTTTTCGGAGTTTCTAAATTATTTATTCGATAAATAATAAATTACCAATATAGTTTACGGATGCTTGTAAAAATATTTGAACAAAATATTTTGTCAACAATGCAAGAAATGTTGACCAGTATTACTTACATAGTTTATAGATATTATAAAATTGAAAAAATTGTTCAACATTATGAGAATTCAATATTGTCACACTATAGAAGATGGTAACAGAGTATGGTAATAGATTTATTTGAATGAAATTTGAAAGTTCGATATTTTTATAGTTGAAAATGAATGTCAGAAACCCTTTACAATTATGAGCATTTTAGAGATTGATGAACATTATCTTGATTTCCTAGAAATTATATCTAAATAAAAGAAAACACACATAAAAATAACATACTTTGATAACCAATTGTAAAAAAGTATTGGATTACCAAGAAAATATGACTATTAGAAGATTTAAAGAAATATATATTAATTAAGTTGATCGAAATATTTGAAGCTATTTTATAATAATGGAAATAGGTGCTAATATTATTATATTAAACTACATATATTGGTCAAATTATTTAGTAATACTACTTTAAGCGAATTGTATATTGGTTTTGTATTAATTTCATAATAATGAACATTTTAACCGAAAGTCATACATTTCTATTGTGTTCATAAATACAATAGTTTGTAAAATGCAGAAGATAGAATATGTCGTTAGTACACAGAAATTGTACATAATAATTATTACAAGTAAATTTATCTATAATACAAATAATGTACTAACTAATAATGTAATAACGAATGTACAAGTCTTAAGAAATCATCTTCAGAAAAATTCATTTCCATTATACATTTTAATTCTCTAATATAAACTTATAATTTATTTTAATAGTAAATGCATTGCACAAATATAATAACAGTTAATGCATTGCAATAAGAACATTGAAGTTACTAACACTTTTTTTATTTACTGTTCAAAATTATTTAGCAGAATTTGTAATTATTTTGTTTTAAGAACTAAAAAAATATAGGCATGTCCAGAAAAAAATATAGGAAAAAATTGTCAATAATTTAACGATTTTTATAAATGTTTATAGTTTATATATTTATATATTTATATATTTATACTTTATAGATTGATCCTTATTAGTTTTGAATTTATAAATAGATTTACTAGATGAATTTTTTATCTGCCGTTATTGAAAAATATTATGAAATTACAATATATAACCTTTTAAAAATATTTTGTCTTACAGATTCCATTGTGAATAAAATAAGCAGCAATTTGAAAACCAATAGTGTTAATTTCGTAGATGATGAAGATCCAGTACAGGACTTAGAAGGCTCTGCAGATATTCCTTTGGATTTTTAAAAAAATATTTATAACAGCAATAATATTATAATAATGTTGTAATACATGAAGAACACGGTACTACATATGTTATTCATATTATTCAATTAACAAAACAGTGCATGATGGTAAAATTTTTAATCCATCATTTTACATATTCATACATGTATTAAAACGTACATAACAAAATAAGTCAGCATTTTTATTTAAAGGTATTTTGAATCGTACAATAACTAATAAAATAATAAATTTTTTTTATATAAATACCCTAAAATGTTATATTGATGAGTTCTATAGAAGAAACAAATTACTTTTCGATAGATATATACATCCGCATGTAATTTACAAATTGATTGCAGATACATGAAAAATATATAATAATACTTATTCAAATGCATAGTCTTATATTTTTCTTTGTATTAAGTTTGTTGATATTCTAAATATTGTTTACACACTGATTTTTCAAAATTAAATATTGTTTACACACCGATTTTTCAAAATTGAAAGATATTAATTAAATTGCAAATTTAAAAATGTTTTTTATATATTATGTTATTTATGTTGAATTTCTTCTAGAATATTTATTTCATATATAGTTTAAATACCATGAAATTACATAATTCATAATTATTTTAACATGGATTAATTATAAAATTTTCATTTATCTTAATAAATTTAAACATCTTAGATATTTATAATTTTAATATTTAAGAGTATAACAAACATTACTTTTTTATTAATGCTATATCATAATAAAGACGTATACTTAATAATTATTATATATATATTTTGCCATAGTGAAATTGCCAAATTGCCATAGTGAATTATACAAAAATATTATATACAATCATTAAATTACAATTACCTCTTTCAAAATAAAGCAGATTTTTAAAAATTAAACTTAAAAAAGCAAGCATCCACTTAACTTGTAAAAAATATATCTTATATACAGTAGGATAGATTGTTTAATTCTCATAATTTCCTTGATAAAAGACTTTAAATTTATGGATAGTTTTTTTAAATACTTAGTGACAGATGTCAAAGTTAAACTAATCGTCATTCATATATTTATAAATAAATTTAAAGATTAAAAAGTTATAATGCGTTATTTATAACACAATGTTGAAAATAATTATTTTTATATAAAAATGTATTTTAAATTAATTATGTAGCTTTAGTAAGGAATTGTTATACATTATAATTAAGTTACGATTATATTATAATCTATTGTTGGTTTTTCTTATTGTATATTTAATTACAATCTGATATTTTTTAGATAAAATGCATCTATGTGTTCATATATTAAAGCAATTTAAAAATTATATATAGAGAGTAGAAAGTTATCAAATAATAAAGTTTTTAATTATTTTATTAATATAAAACAATAACTTATTAAATTTTAGCAAATGTTCTCTATTTCATTATGTCAATCAAATTTATGCAAAATATTGATTGAGAAAGGAGAATTTTTATATAAATGTCAGTTACAAGATGTTTTACAATTACATAATGTAGATAAAAATTTTATAATAAATTAAATAAGTTTTAAATTCTTGTTTTCTAATATTTCCTATAATTAATTTAATATAATATTTCCTATAAATAAAATATAAATTCAGTAGTGGTTGACAAACTAGATTTAATATTAAAAAAAAAATGTAATTAAAAATTCATTTTTAATTAAAATCTAGTATAGTACTTTTTCTAAAAATAACAAAAGCATTAAGTTATGTTATTTGTTTAAATTAATTTAGTGATATTATTAAACATAGGTTCATGTTGAATCCATGTTTTTCATCCATCAGTATGCATACTATCTACAGTACGATTCTTATTCTAGGGTAAATAGTAATATATTATAAGTATTAAATATAGTAATTTTTTATTATTTCAACTTTTATTTGAACAGTAGTACAGTAGTATTTATGTAATCATAATCATTGTTATTTACTATTGTTTAGATAGTATTTTTTATACTTATACTATTATTTTGTATGTATTCACTTAACTTGTAAAAATATAATTTTATAAACAATCTATAGAATAATTCTAAAATTCTCACACTTTGCTTAAAAAATTAATTAAATTTATAGACAGTTCATTTATTTTTGGTTTTTCTCTTTTGTATTTCAACATATTCATTAATAATGTTGTATTTGTATCATTTTCTCAGAATTCATATACAGATAAGACAATTTAATAATTCAATGCAGAACGTTTTATTTTTGCAACTCAATATATTATTTTTATAAATTTCATTATGGTTATAATACAAATATTTAGAAATTCATGATCGTTTTATGTGTAAAAAATCTAAATACAACCGTCATTCATGATTTAATTTAAACATAGTATTCATATATTTTATCGATTGATGTTCAAACAAAAATAAATGCATCGAATATTACGTTGCAAACAAAAACGTTATAATATAATTTCTGAAATATGTTTCATATTTCTAAAAGAAAATAAACTTTTCTTTTTGGTTTCGTAAAACGTTATATATTTTGGTCAATAGATAGCATTACAATTATAATAAAAGTGAATTTTTTAATTTTTTATTAGTCCACGTATTAATTTTTTTCAATCATAATAAAAATCATTTAAATTATTGAAAATATATTACAAAAAATATTAAATGAAAGCAAAACATTTTAATTTTTTTTATATAAATAAAATAAAAATATATAAATAAGATAATGTTAATTTTCTTTTTAATAATAGAATTATTTATGTATAATGTTACATGCCAATGGTTTAAAATTTTTAAACTTTAAAGCAATGATTAAATATTGATATAATAAATATCAGTATATTGTTAACTACATAATTTTTGTCTAAATTTACGATGTCTTGTGTGAGAATTTATTTAAACTAATAACATTATATTTCAAAATAAAAAATATTTCTATTTCTCCATACAATTCCTAAAAAAATGAATAAATGCAATTGATTTGTAAATTATTATTAATTTTAAGTTTTTCAGTTAAATGATATAATATATGAAAACTTTAAAAATATTAATTATGATAATATTATACCAAAACTTTATGTTTTTAATAATAATTTTAATAGATATTTAAATATATATGCTATTACTAAAATTGCTTAAAGAAAGTAATAATAATTAGCGAAAGTTGACAAAAATGAAAAAAGAATTATTTGTATATTTATATAAATAGTGAATGTACTTGTATATTCACATTGATACTTCATTTTTCTAAACTATGAAATAATAACTAAAATTAACGTTATTATCTCCATGCACAATTCTTATAAAAATAGATACAATGTATTTCTCCACATAAAAAGAAAAATGAGAAATGGTTGGAAAATGTAGTAAAGAATAATTGAAAACCAAAGTGAAAAAAAAAACAGTCATCATCAAATACTTCCAATAATTCAATAATACAGAAAGTATATATAATAATAATAGTTAAATATAAGTATTTGCTTTATGTATTGTTCATAATATTATTGTCTTGTCAATTAGTTATGATATGGTTAAAAATCAATAAATAAAGTAACATAAGTTTACGTACTATCCGAATTTAAAGAAATATACTGATATTATACTGCAATTTTTACCCATTTTATGAATTGTTAAAAACTAAAACTAAAACTAAGTTAAAGTAAATGAAAAAAGCATTAATTTTTCTATTATATATTATATTGTTTTAATTAATACGTTTGAATCATATATATTATATATATATACATTTTTTGGATGTATTATTTTATTATTACAACATGCACAAATCAACGATTTTATTATTCTTCACTTTTCTATTCTTTTACTATTTTTCTATTTTGTTGTCTTGATTTTAAGAATTTATCAATCGAAATTATTTTAAATGCATTTATTGAGGAAAACCAGAATAACAAATAAAAACTTATAAAAGTAAAAATTATTTTAACATATTTGTTCATTTGTTTAAATAATATGAATAAAACATAAATATCCTAAAATTTATCAATAATACATGTTCCAAAAAGAATCATAATAAAACGTATTATTGGTAAATATATATTGTATAATTTTTATACAATATCTATACTTGCTTACAATATATTATTTAACTTTTACGTAAAATTACCATAAGAAAATAAAAAAACAGTAATTATGTAAAGTATATAAAGTATATAAATATATAAAATTTTTAGAACTAAAATTGTTCAGTATAATTTTGTAAATTGTAACCATACTAAAAATACAAACAATAATGTATTTATAGTTATTTATCTCAATTAATAAGAAGGAATTTTAAAAGATTTAATTTGAAATAGAAAGCAAAAAGTTCTTATACTATAATAGTATAGGAAGTTAACAATTATTTTTTGATTTTGTACAATAAGTAGTTTACCAAATGTATTACAGATTTTTTTTAATTGTTTAATTTCAATGTAATTCATTGTGAAGAAAAATGTATAAACATAAATTATGTAAATATTTTATAATTTATAAATTTTTAATACAATTGATATTTTTAGCAATTAATGAAAGGATATAATCAATCTATCTACTTAATTATAAATAAAAGTTAATAAACAAATCAAAATAATAAATATATTTTAAATAAAAAGCTTTAAAATGAAATATAAAGTTTTTTCATACTGTAGAAAAAGTATAATTAGTTACCGTAATTTAAATAAATTTTTAAATACTGAATCATGTTTAATATAATAAAGTATTAATTATATTGTTTATTCTATAATATAATCATATGTAAAATAGCATATAATAATATTAATAGTTGCATCTCAAGACTGTATGAAATTATTTAAATCTTATCTTTTAAATTATAAAAAATAAAATTAAAAAAAGAACTGCATTATGAAATTTAAATAAAATAATATATGTATGTGACAATAATTTTCAGTAAATCAATAAATAAAAATTATAAAAAAAATTATTTTATATAATTTATAAAAATAAAAATGCATAATTTAATCTGTTTAAGCTATAGCAATATATTTTTATATTTTATATAACTTAAAAAAGTGCACAAAATGTTCTAGATTTTACATTCTAAATATATATATATATATATATATATATATATACATATTACTTTTTTCTGAAATTTCATAAATTATAAAATCAATTTTTTTAATAGATCGTTATTATTCGTGTTTTTAGTATTTTCAGTATTATCTCTTATTTGAAAAGTATATTTCGTTATAATCGATTGATTAATAATTAAAATATGGGGATATTAAAAAAAGGTTTGTATATTTTTCAATTTTTCATAACTTGAGTGGCTACAAATTTGAACAGTCTTATTATTTTATAAGAATTTATTAAGAAATTATTCTGTGTGGCTGTAAAAAATTTATCACGTTCAAATAATTTGTGAAGAAATTTAAGTGATTCTTTCATTCAAATATTGGATAAAAATGATAAAGCTAATGAATTCATATTTATAAAAATATTTTAGATATTTAAGGAAAAGTATATATATTTGCTGAAAGATCTTAAAAATTGTGAATAAAAACCTGAAATTATATTTGCTGAATTTTTATTAGAACGTTTATTATTATATCATTATTTTATATGAATACAAATATTATTGCTCAACAAACGTAATTATTATTGATGGAATTAATAACTAATATTGGAATTTCAACAAAGTATGTTACATAATTACATTGAATAATAAATAATGATTCCCAGTGTTTGCTTATTTAAAAAAAATCGAATTTATATATCATTTACGAAAAGAAATTTAAAATAATCACAGGATGAAAATCGACTAGACAAAATTGAAAAATATTAATGCCCAAAATCAGTTATAATATATCTACATGATTAACAATTTAAAATCACCTCAAAATCAATGTTAATTTGAAATGAAATAGAAAGTATATAAAAATGCTATTACAGATAATGAAAAAACTGTAATAAAATATGATATGAGAGAGAGATAGATAAGACATGACTATACACACGGATCGAATTCATTCGCTACAGTACAAAAAGAAAATTATGATTATATTATAAATAATTTATGTAAGAGTGAAATATATAATATTAGTACAATAATTCAACATATTTAAATATGCATGATGTATCTCAGATTGAATAAGAAATTAATAAATTGAATTAATGAACTGAATTATTACAAAAAGATATATTTTTAAGTAGGCTTATCAAGATTTCTAGTATGTTTTAATCAATACAACTGTTGTTTATGAATCTCATAATAAAATTATTTTCAATTAACTATATCATCCTTTTTATTGATTAAAGTATATCAATTTTTAATATGTTATGTTTTAATTATAATTCATCATCTTAGTTTTCATAATTACTTTGTATAAAATAGTTTCAGTCGAGGCTTTAAAGATAAATCTGTTTTATTACCTTACTCTTATATTGTTTTATAAAAATCAATAAATAAAATTTTTTTTACTATAATTAAAAATAATCTGTATTTCAGTACATTGACTAGTTTGACCCGCAAAAATAAATTATTGATAAAAAAATTAAATCATTAAATGTGTAGATTTTCAAAAATTAACGTTTATTGTTTTTTAATAATATGATTACAAAATCAGATACTGGTGATTACAAAACTTGTAGTATAATATGTGAATTATGTAAATGTATAGAGACTATTTTAATTAATAATATAAAACTACTCTCAAACTGAAAAATAAATTAATATATTATTTATCATAAATAAATAATTATATGTACTAATAAAAACAAACCAATTTCCTGCATGCATCAACTTGAATCCATCATTAATTTGATCAAAAGGCAAAGTATGGGTAATAAATTCATCTAAAATGATTTTTTTACTAAGATATTCATGTATAAGTTTAGGTATACTGTCTTTTGACTTCCATCCTCCAAAAGCTGTACCTTTCCATGTTCGTCCTGTTATCAATTGAAATGGACGTGTACTAATTTCATGACCTGCAGGGGCCACACCAACAATAACAGATATACCCCAACCTTTATGACATGATTCTAAGGCAGCTCTCTAAATTATAAATATTATTTAAAAATTTCTTTAATTATATCGATAAATATACTTACCATTGACTCTACATTTCCCACACATTCAAAAGTATAATCTAAACCACCATCTGTTAATTCAATAAGTATATCTTGAATTGGTTTATTATATTGTTTTGGATTAAAAAATTCCGTGAAACCAAATCTTTTAGCTAATTATAATGTATATTAGAATATTTATATTTCAATACTGTAATCATTATAAAAATGAAAAGAACAATTTTTAACCTGTTTCAAATTTGATTGGATTAATATCAATACCAATAATACGTGAAGCACCTGCAGTTTTACATCCAAATGCTACTGCTAATCCGACAGTCCCTAATCCCCAAATAGCACAAGTACTTTTTGGTTGTACTTTTGCAGTATTTAAAGCAGCTCCATAACCTGTTGATACACCACAACCTAATAGGCATACCTTGTCTAAAGAAGCAGTTGGATCTATCTAATAAAATTAAAAAATTAGAAATCATTATTAATCAAATTTATATTGAAATATATTACCTTTACAAGAGATATATCAGCAACGACAGTATATTCAGAAAATGTGGAACAACCCATAAAATGATACAAAGTTTTACCATTACACATAAAACGTGACGTACCATCAGGCAATACACCTTTCCCTTGAGTAGCTCTTATTTTATTACAAACATTGGTTTTAGGTGATTTACAAAATTTGCATTCGCGACATTGTGGAATATACAAGGGTATTACATGATCACCTAGATTTTTTTATTATTATTAAATTTAAAATAAATAAAACTAATTGTAAATTATACATCTTATTTGTGAAATAAAAATTATACATATATAATAATTCAATAGTAATAAACTACAATGTAAATATACAAAATGATTTTAAGTAACAAATATACCAGAGTTAAATTCAGTTACATCAGCTCCTACACTTTCAACGATTCCAGCACCTTCATGTCCTAAAATACAAGGAAAAATCCCTTCTGGATCTAATCCATTGAGAGTGTAAGCATCAGTATGACATAAAGCAAAAGCAGTAATTTTTATTCGTACTTCATGAGTTTTTGGAGGAGCAACCTCAATAACTTCTAATGTTAAAGGTTTACTTGGTTCCCATGCTACTGCAGCACGACATTTAATAACCTAAAATGTCAATTAAATTAAAACAAGAGTGCATTCAGTTATATAATATTAATATGATACGTAATCTTTCTTATTTAAGTAAAATAAATAAATAAATGTAATCATTTAAATTATTTAATGTACATTAAAAAATAATTTATAATTGACTCAATTATAAACCATATTTTACCTTGTCGATCGTGTTTGCCATTTTTGTTAAATATTGTTCTATGTACTTATACTGCAAACTTCGTGCTGTATATGAAGTAGTGAGAGTGGAGAAGTAAAATCTATTGGTAAGTCGTATATATATGGATAAAGATAATCTTGAAAAATAATATGATGCAAAGAAAACAATAATAATTTTAATCGAAAATTTGAAAAGGTTGACGGCAATAGATATACAAGGTTTCAAACTATTTATCCCCATCATTATAGGGGTATCCAAAATATTCTATTTAAATCTTGTGACTCAAATTGTTAAGCGCTTTTTATTATCTTTATTGGATTGTTGAAAACTTATATTCTACCTGCATTCTTTACATGAAAATAATATTATCATAGTTCAAGACGCTAAAAAGGATAATATGGCTTGTATTTATTAAGTTATAAACAAGAAACTTTCAAAGTTGATTTGGTTTTAAAGGAATTTCCTGTTAATTAAAGTTAAACTTTAACGTAATAATGTTTAGATTTTTCCAAACCATTAAAAAAGAACTTTTAAGTTAAATGTTTTATATTAAAAGAAGAAAAGGAATAGCGGGTCACAAAAAAACTTTAAGGAGTAGTTAATTAAGATGGTGTAAATGTTAAGTATTGTGATATAGATAAAGTTATAAGATGCTCATTTAATATAGTAATAATAAAATAAAAGTAAAATAGTATGTATTTCAATGTTGAATAGAAAGAGAAGCCCAAGTATTATATCAAAAGTTGTTATTTATTCTTTGATTGTAAATAAACTTGGATTACAGATAAAAAACTTATTCATTTGATAAAATTAAATATGTTTAGTATTTCTGTATCTAATCATATATTTCTACCCATAAAAACTATACTCAATTAATTTGTAAACAAATTATACTTTCACTATAATTAATTAAAACAAAAATTAACACTAATAATTATTATATGATGTAATAATAAAATTACAAAAATGTATGTGTAAAATCATCAAAAATTTATTTTCTAATAATTACATCTTTCAGATGAGCACATATTATTTGATGGACACACTTATGTATTTCTTAATGATATATATATATATATATATCAAATACATAAACAGGATGATTAATTAATTCTTATTAATAGTTAACAAGATAATAAAATTAATGACTTATAATTTTTTATATATATAAATTTTGTATTTTAGGTATCAATTTTAATTATAGGAGATATATTATATATAAAATTGAAATAAATATATTTTTACAAAGCACTTATTTAACTGTTAAAAGCAGCAAAATAAAATTTTATAGTAACTTATTCAATAGTAACATTTTTATTTCATTGGCGAAAATAAGTTTTATATATTTTTTAATTTCGAAAATTTTTAAATTTATTAAATAAACAAGTAAAAAATAATAAAACAAGATTAATTGAATGAAATTTTATTGCTTTAAATTAATAAGAATTTTAATATTTCCATCAGAAATGATATGAAACATTTTATGCTTAGATTAATAGAATTAGAATAATCTAAATTTCAACATTATACAAATATAATGATCATTTTTTTATGACAAAATTTAATAAAGATACTCGAATATGTTTTGTGAAATGTATATTTATTTTTAATGGAAAATAAATTGTAAAAGTTATAAATGTAAATATAAAATCAGAAACTATATTTAAATTAGAATAGCAGTGCAGGTTTTAATTATATAATTATTTACTGTACTGTATATTTATAAATCAAATCCAAACTTAATGAGATTTCAAGAATTGAACTTATATTTATATGTGATTTAATTATTTAATCCAATTATTATTTCTGAACTAATGTTTAGTAGTATTTATAATAGGGTTTTGACATTTTCAGATAAACATAAAAAACGTTCGTAAATATTGTAATCCAAAAATACTTTCAAAACGAATATGTAATGTACTTGACCTTCACAGTGTATATTAATTAATAAAATTCAATGTACTTGTTAAAATTGCTTTTCTTATTATGTTAATTAGAAAATCATGTAGTATATATTGTTATTTTAATAAGATTATATTTAACGCTAAAATGAATTAAACAAAAATTTTTTAATTTTTGGATAACATTTTATGAATAAACGTTGTAGTCCCTCCTGTCAACACCTAAACAGGACGCTATCATTTTGGTCATATTCGGTCACAAAATTGATTAATTATGACGATCAAATTTACACTCAAAATTAATTAATTCTGAGCTTTCTTATCTAGTGTAATTAGTTATGATTATAGAAAAAGTAAAAGTTTATGTAGTAAGTTTGCAAATACATTTTTGTATTTTATTTAATAAATTTAATTTTCCCAATAAAATTTTTTTTGTATATTTTATACTTCTGTATTTTAACAAAATAAAAACGTTTAGAAACAAATTTGAATAAATAACATATATTTAATTTTGAAATATTTATAAAATAGCTAATTACAGATGTATAACAATTTAAAATGTTTTAATATTTGTTTTATAATGATAGAATTATGCATTGGTTGTGCAATCAATTTAATATTGATAGTGTAAATTATATTAAGTAAGAAAAAATTTAATGAAACGATTGTTTTTTATGAACTAAATTTTTTTAATGCTTTTATTAATAGACAATTTGTTTTTTATCTAAATATTATTTATTTATATATTCTTTCTGTATATAGGTTATTTCAACCAATAGTAATGAGCATGGATAATCTTCAGAACAAAAAAGTATTATTTTTCTTTTGTTCAGTGACTTCTACTTATTTTGTAGGAATTTGCCTGTATTTACAGTTCATTGTTAAATTAGTTTTTATTGAAGTGTTTAATATCATTTATATATTATTAATGTTAACGTTTATTGAATTTATAAAAATAGTTTTTATTTTTCGGGAATTAGATTATTTATTTGTAGGAAAAACAAAATTAGATATTTTATTAATGCTTAAACAAAATTTTACAAAAATTATAAAGGAAATTATAAAAACTTGTGTATTAACTGTTGTAATAACAATAATTTATTATGTTATTATTGTATTATATGGAGCACCTGTATTAACACATTGCAATGAGACATTAATCCTTGCTCTTACTTTAACAACTCTTACATTGGTTCCAGCTTGTTTACATCTGGGAACGGACAATCTGTTAACTTTATTTATTAATTCAGAACAGCTAACGGAAGAAAAATTTTTAGAAGCTATAAAATTAAATATAAAAATTGTTTTAATAACTACATGGCTTAGTGCTTTTGTTTTGGCATTGGACTGGGATAGAAAATGGCAAATTTGGCCTACACCATGTATAATTGGTGCTTTGCTTGGATATTTTATTAGCCATTTTCTAACTTTTATAAAAATTCTAAAAATAAAATTAGAAAAAAAATGTAAAAAAAAAGAAATGTTTAAAACCTGCTGAATCAGTTATAATAAATACAATAAACTTTTTAAAGCAATCGTTAATTTATAGAGAATTTATTAATACTTAATATACCTTTCATATGAAAAAAGATTTTTAAATTAGCAATTAAATTTTATTAAATGGGATGGTTTAAAAATTAAATATATTTGTAAGATCTTTTTATATACATTATGCGTGCATTCAAAATTTTTTATTAATTAGTAATATTTATTTTTATAAGTTATTTATAATTAAAACATCGTTAAAGACATTATATTTTAGAAAATTATCTTATCAAATTAATTTGCTAAATTGATTTATAATTTTTAAAATATAAATTTGTTACAATAATTAATTTTAAATATTAATAGTTTGTATTTCAACCATATGATGTGTAATAACCATTATATATTTTTTTAATAAATATTAATAAGCTCTTTTACCAAATTTGATTCATTTATATCATTTATTTTCTTTACTACTATTAACAATTACAATAAGTTTCAACTATTTAAAAGAATTTGAAGATGCATTATGCTTATATTTTGTATTTATAAATTTTCTAAATGCCTATGATAACATAATATTATGAATAAATTTAAACAAAATTTTATTTATTTATATTTTTTCCTATTATAGAATAAATTAAAAATCACAAAGTATATTTTGCTGCATTTCTACCAGCTACAATTGTTTTTATAATAATCTAAAAGCTTTATGAAAGTTAAACATTAATAAACTTTATTTCAAAACAGTTGTTATAGATAAATCAATTAATTTAAAATAATTGTTGAAAATTTTATTATTCTAATTATAAATACAATTTAAAAAAAAAACTAGAGGACGTAATTTTGATTGTATATGAACACACAAAATATTATAAAGTTAATGCTTTGGTTTAGAATAAAACGTAGGAATAAAAACAATTGTATGTGTGCATATAATTTATTATTTATCCTATACTTATAAATTTTAATTAATATTTTTAATATGATACAAAGTTTTTAGTTTGCGACTACACTATGTAAAATATGTTTAGAAGTATAAAGTAATGTTAATAAACTATCAGAATAAATGGATTTGTTGTCTGGTATAAATTTCGAGATGATCTTCATTATGTTTCGAATTTTTTAGTCATAAATATTTAGGAAAACAATGAAGATTAAAGTATAATTATTGTTAATACATATGAAGCTTTATTTTTGTTTTTTATATTAAAATTGATATTAAACTTTTATTTTAAATTAAATTGATATTAAGTTAAAAATTCTCAAAAGTAAAGTATTAAATAGCAATGTTCAAGCTTTAATAAATTTAGATAACAAATATTAAGGAAGAGACATGTTCTGTTATTTCACTAAATTAAGAAATAAATAATGTATGTTATCCAATACATTATTTATAATTTGTTAATTAAGTTTTCTATTTGAATTAACATAATTAAAAAGTTACTTCAGAAAATTAAAATTATCGTTTTACTTAGTGTTATTTTGCTTATATATTCAATTGCATCAGTTTCAGTAATTTTATAGTTAAAATTACTAATACTGGTAATCGGTACCTAGTAATTAAATCCAATCTAAAATAGTATGAAATTCGATTCCATACGAAACCTTCCTTTTAAATTTCATAATTCTAAAAAAGTCTGTAATTTGTATGGTCTTGTGCAGAGTATACCTAATAGAATCGAGTGCATACCTAATAGAATCTGAAAATGCAATTCTGAATTATTTGATTTGAATAATATGAATTTATTTCTTTCTATTAAATATAATTAATATTTTTATTTGCATAATAACTAGAATTTTAATTTCAAATAATTGAACTTCACTACAAATTTGTCCTTGTAAGATTTTTTAAAGAATATGTCAATCATTTTAAACTATCTTATTTCTTAATAATAACATTCTTATAAAAAATACAAAGCTATTAATTTAATATAATTAAGAGAAAGAATATTATTAATATACAAAAAATGATTAAATATGTATACAAGAGCGAATATTATAAATAACATTAATATAAAAATTCATTAATAAAATAAACTAATGTTGATGTGATGTTATATTAGATAAGTTAATAATAAAGAATTTATACCACAAAATCTATAAAACTAATATACATGGTGTTGCTAGTATCAATATCGAGCTATCTTTTTAGCACAACCACAACATACTTCTATTATATCTTGAACTGAAAAATATTACTTTCTAATCTTTTACTTATGAGTAATTTAATTAAATCTTATGGATAAGCCCAGTTAACTGACTTAGGTGAAAAGATATATAAGATAGGAAAATATTTTTAATTTCATAAATTTGTTTTCTCGATGAAAATGTACCCTTCTTAATTTTAATTTTAATTAACGTTATTGCAAAAGTAAGTACTAAATTCGCATGATTAGTAATCTACATCTTTTTAATATATATAGTCAGTGATTCTTTCCTAGTTTAGATTACTGAAAATTATACAGAGTGATTGAAAAAGACTTTAGATTTTTTAATAAATTATATAGCTTGTTTAAAAATTGAACAATTGCATTAAACTAAATATTTTTTTTAATAACTATTACCTAAGAATTAAAATATTTAAGTTTATAAAAAGTAATATAAGAATTTTTTATTTTATTACCTATTATTTATAATTATTAAAATATAAAATTCTATTATCTATTATATTTAGTACATTGAAAAGATTTACCGAACAAAGGTCGAAAAGATTGATTAAAGATAGCAGTCCTTAACCAACGACTACGAATTCATAATTATGTATATTCTTTTGTATAAAATATATTTTATAATATGAATTATTTAGGCCATACAGTTACCTATATCGGCACTCTAATACTGTAATAATCTAATACTGTATAAAGATGTACCTGTCTGTGCTTTAAATCAAAATCTTTCTTTTAATTATGGTATGCATGGACTATATAGTTAAGCTGGCCCTTAATTATTGGCGCATTAAATATACCAGGACAATACTGCTCTTCTCTTGTAATTATATTTTGTCCAAGTATTATAAATTTCCTGTTAATTACAGATACTACACCTAAAATATATATTACTTTACATAAATACTAATCCTACATGCATATATAATACTCGTGCGAAATGTAAATGATACTTTCGGAGCTCCATCTGATAACTGCAGAAATTTCATTTCATTAATAAAATATATTTAATATACATTCAATATTAAGTAAGATAATTTAGAGTTTCAATTTTTTAATGAAATGTTCAATTTCATTTCTGTTTGGAAATTGGAGCAGTTTTCAAGAATTTAAATTGGGAAAAGTACAAGCTCCCGGACGCTCATGTTTGTAAACACGATTAAACGAATTCGGGAATTTTCCTACACCTTAAATTCGAATATACGACAATATTTCCGCATGGCAAAGCCGATGAAAGTTCTAGAACCTTCCAAGACTGTGTCCTTCGATGCTTCTAGAATATTCCAGAGCTTCGTTCTCTGACGTCACTACGATTTTCGACATAGCAACAGGCATCGGCGCTGTTGCCAGCGTCGCAAGCTGCTACGCGAATATTTAAGAGCAGCTCACCACGCACCGCGCACTGTACTTTTAACATCCACTCAGTCGCCACGCACCTGGCTCACGGTGTTTTTATTATCTACTCAGTTATCAATTATGGCTCACTGTATTTTTATCTAACATTCAACCAACAGTTATCGCTCACTGTAACTCTACAACTCGCTCACTCATCTGTTATTATTAATTAGTGTATTTTAATCTATCTAGTAGCCGTTTATTTTTGTCTATCTACTTAGCCGCCAGCCTGGCAATCCACATATGCGTGCATTATTAACAGAATCTGCTATAACAAGTTAATAATTTGACAGTGACGCCATTGGAATTGAAATCAATAAGGTGCGCCAGACACGCAGCCAAACAGCATACTCTGATAGTAGTTCATAAGGTACATCTTCTTTATTATTTGTACAAGCTAGTTATTCACGCTCGAATCACGTTTCACATAAAGTCTGTCAAGAAAGGTGACAGCAACACGCTCTCAGGCCAACCAGGCCGGAGAACGTTCGTTCACCCAGCTACAGGCAAGGTGACAGCAATACGCTCTCTCAGGCCAAGCAGGCCGGAGACCGTCGTTCACCCAGCTACAGTCGAGACGGGTGACAGCAACACGCTCTCAGGCCGACCAGGCCGGAGAACGTTCGTTCACCTCTCCAATCAGTTTAATTATATTATCAAGGATTGATAGCAGTTATCAAATAGTCGACTATAACTACCTATTATTAAGTCCTTCCGTACTTGAAGGCTATCATTTATCGTTATTGCGTGTGACTAGCTCTCTAATACTCCCATACTCCCTTTACATCAACTTACATAACAACTACCACAGAGACTATAGTATTTTCTCCTTTTGAATATGGTTTACTCTCCCTGCTAAGCACTACTGATTACCATTACCATCTTCCCATGCTCATCGATGAGCATGGTCGACTACTCATGCTGATCTTTACATCAGGATAGACTCAATACTCAACATCCACAGTAATTTCCATAGCATCAGCGACAACCAAGGACACAAGGAAGTACCCTCACCACTGCAATAGAATACTTTTTTCTCTCTCTTACTTGAAACAACCATGAAACTGCAATATTATAATAATTCATAAACCAGAATAAAACAATATCTTCATTCAAAATATATATTACATAATATTTTCAGCCCTTCCACTCGTGCCTTTTCCTCCTAATCGCTACGGCGAGAGACTAATCCACTGAACTATTGAATTGGCACTTCGAGCCACAAAACAAACCCTCATTTTCGAACAATTTCAAAGAAAATAAAGAAAAAAAATTGTGAATAAAGTGTGTAAGGAATGTTCGTTAAAATATCATAGCATATGCCAGCTAAGTAAATGTAAGAAATAATTTTTTAAAGAAATTTTAAATAAAGCAAATTTAAATGTTCTCAATAATAAGGGAACTGTTTCATAGGAAAATAAAAATAAAGAAAAGAAGCTAAGAATTTGTAGAATAATGAAATTAATGGTAAAAAATTATACGAATCATTGAATATGGAAAAAAGGGACAAAGTTAATATTATTAACTAAAAACTATTAGATTAATATTTAAACAGATGAGTCAGATCAGTATCTAAATATTCTGCTCAAATTTATATAATAAATTATTTTTAAACATTTTCTGATTAGTAAAAGTATAATTTTGATAGCCTTAGTCGACCAATTAAATGAAAAATGTAGCAAATTGATTTTTAATTAAAAAAAAAAAATATTTATGTACATTATAATTAAATATGTCAATGAAAGAAAAATTTACCTAATACTTACACAAAATATGCAAAAATATATAAATACCTTTGTTTTCTATTTATAATTAGTGAAAAAATTCATTTACGCATGCGCATTAAAATTCTGTCTCTAGTTTGTTAAAAATCAACTATTTATTATTATAAAATGTACTATATATGTTTTTTTTATATTTTAATAAAGAACGAATTAAGTTCGTTCTTGAACGATATATAAAGCTTTAAACGAATTAAATTAATAGATTTTACAAAATATTAGTCTACAACATTTTAAAACTTTCAATTTTAATTTTGTTTAAAAAAAACTGAAGTGTTAATTGAATCAGGTAATTCAAATAGTGATTAAATTTGTAGTATCCATTCTATATGTTCTGTTATTGGTTAAGTATAAGTTAATATATTATTTTTATTTAATATTAAATTATTTTTCTAACATAAAAGTTCATTATTAAATTATTATTTTTGCTAAATTTTCATTGTATGCATAAATTTACAAAAATTTTCTACGTTAATTTTTTTATTTCTAATTATACCGCTCGCTTGTTTAAAAGTAGTTTGCACATTAATTATAACGAATAGTTATTTGGAAATATTTGATCTGTAATTCAATAATGACCTCGAAATTATGCAATGCTCCTGTTTGAATTCGTTTATTGTTTCTTTAAAATTTAATCGTATTTTTTATTAATTTTTTTTATCTTTTTTTGTCATGTAAGTTTTCTATTTTAGTAAGAAAGCAGGAATTTTATTCCTACATACAATTTATAAAAATAATTCAGCCTGCTACAATGCGAAAGTGTAAAGCCAACGTATTTCAAGATATTTATAATCAACCATACAATAACAACACTAGGATCAAGTTGTATAATAGTAGTAAATGTAAGTGATTGTAATACTTGTTATTTATGTTTTCCATTTTAGCAAAGAACACATTCTTGTTTGTATGTATTGTGGAACTATTTCTAATGTACATTAATAACTTTATAACTACTTTTTAAATATATTAGCTAGTTTACAATTAATACAGCGAATGTCATTATTGAAAAGACTAAAAGTACATCATGGTTGTGTTAATTCAATTTGTTGGAATAGTAGCGGTGATTTAATTTTATCTGGTAGTGATGACCAACATTTAGTTCTCACAAATGCTTACAATTATCAGGTAATAAATTGTTTATTAGATGATTTATTGATTTTTTTATATTTCATGTATTTTTTAATTTAATAAACCAATTCATTATAAAAATGAAATTCTATTTTTGAGAAAATAAGAAAATAATAAATTTTGTTTTTAGTAAAATTTATTATAATTAGTATACAAATTAGTATATATTAATAAATATTTGATGAAACTTTTAAATAAATTTTTATCGTATTTTTTTTTTACAAAAGTGCATCAAAAGTTTCCAATATATTTATAGTATTAACCAAGTGTTGAAAAAGTTAAGATAAAAAGTGTCCTATTTTGTAAACATATTTTGTTATCAAGTTTTTCATTGAATTTTATGCCTTATTGAAATTACTAATTAAATAAATACTAAATAAATTGATTTTTTATGAAACATAGAATAGCTCTTTTAAATTTTACTGTAAGTTTATTCAATGAAATTAATTTATTTAGGTACTGTCTGATTATAAAACTAGTCATCGAGCAAATATATTTAGTGCCAAGTTCTTGCCTAATAATGGAGATCATCGCATTGTTTCTTGCAGTGGCGATGGTATTATTTTATATACTGGTATGTGAAAATAGAAGTATAATTTTTTTATCAAATTTTGTTTCTAATAAGTTACAATAAAAAAATTTTAGACTTACTGAGAAAAACAGAAACTTCTCATAATAAATTTACATGTCATAGTGGAACTACTTATGAGGTGGCAACAATCCCTTGTGAGCCACATAATTTTTTAAGTTGTGGAGAAGACGGAACAGTTAGATGGTTTGATTTGCGTATTAAAGATAAATGTAATAATTATAGATGTACAGAGGTAGTATGATATTCTTTTTATATTAATGTGTATCTTTTATTTAATTATAAATTTTTTTATAATTATTTATTAGGATATCTTAATTTATTGTGAAAGAGCAGCAACAGCAATATCAGTTAATCCTGTAATGCTACATCAAATAGCTATAGGATGTTCTGATAGTACTGTAAGAACATTTGACAGAAGAATGCTTGGAACAAAAGCAACAGGTACTTTATTTTTAAAAATATTGGGTTTTTCTTCAAGTAGATTTTTGTTAATTAAAATAAATAATGAATATTTACTCATATTTATCAATTTTAATTTTGTTATTATTTAATATGTAGTTTATCAAAAATTTTAAATTGAATTGTATAATATATGCTGAGTTTATAAAAATAAAACATTAATTTTGATACATTTTTATTTTGTCATTTAAATATTAAAAAAAATTGTTAATTTCGATTTATTATTAAATTAATAAATGCTTTTAGGTTGGATAAATACAGGAACTAATGTAAAACCATTGTATAGTTTTACTGTACCAGAATTTGAAGGAAATTCTTATAGAATTACATCACTGAGTTATAGTCCTGACGGCCAAGATGTCCTTGTTAGTTACAGCAGTGATCATTTATATTTATTTAGTATGAAAGTATGTTTAATTTATTAAATGTATATAAATATTCTTATTTTTAAATTAATTAAAAACATGTGTTTTAAGGAACAAGATTGTATACAATTAAGAAAAGAAAACACAACTGGAAAAGGTAAGGGAAAAAGATATCCATCTAGATCTCCACAACCAGTTAGACGCTTACGATTACGAGGTGATTGGTCAGATACTGGACCAAATGCTCGGCCAGAAAGAGAGGGTGGTCGACGCAGTGGAACAGGTAAATTATATATTTTATTAAAATGACCTTGTACATTTAGTGAAAGTTCTAGAACATTTGCTCTTATTTCTTGAGACTTTAGACAAATAAAATCTGGTTAAAGACGTATATTCCCTAAACACTTTTGTATTTAATACTTCTTCATAACATTATTAATAAATTTCTTAAGTATTTTAGTCCACTTCCACAAATATGAAGCAGGTTGTCATACTTACTATCATTTTATCCATTTTTGTATTAAACAATTGATATTTATTGTTTGAAAGTGTTGGTTCAAGCATAATTAAATGCTTGCTAGATAAACTTTTATTTAAATGTTGCTTTTTGTATTCATTGGTTCTTGTGTAAACTAATCTGTGGTTCATCCAATTATTACATCACCAACATTAGTACCTTATGAATGCCCCTTATTTTAAGTATATTGCTAGCCATATTTTATAATGTTTGCTTTCATTTTCTGTTATTGAATGTAATAAATTGTTATTCATTTTTAAAGAAATATAGAATAATTATTATATAAGCTATTATTTTGGTTCATTTTTTATTATCGCTTAACCTTTTTTATTTTGCATTATTTAATAATCAGTAAATTCAGTTACTCTATTTTTGATTGCAGTAGCTATATTGTAGGTTACAATATAGGATACTTGCATAGGATAACTTGATAATTATTTCATATTATATAAGATTGTTTTAATTATAATCATTATTGTAACTTAATTAAATTTTATCAGAAACGAATTGACAATATTTTCAATTTCAAATACAAAATTTATTGATTTTTATTTTTATGTAACATAATATTCATTAATAATAATTAATAAATTAACAAATCTAATAAATATTTTTTTAGAAATAGCTCAAGCACGGCCAGTTTTATATACTTCCTTAATGCAAAGAATGACCGATGTATTAAGTAGTATATTAAATGATCCAGCAACACGTGCTGCTCTTAGTGGTGGTGGAGAAGATAGTCTTGAAGGTGTTATAGATCAACAAGGAGAAAGTAGTCAGCAAAGTAATATTAATAATGTTGTAATAAATGAAGAAAGAAACACTGATATCAATGACAGAGAACAACAATCTATAAACAATGAATCATCCAATAATATTGAAAGTAATACTTCTACTATAACAAATGCAGAAAGTAATCAAGTAATTGCTAATGAGTCTATAAATGAAACAACGTTTTTACCAGAGATTTCATCTATTGATAGCAAACTTAGATGTAAATCCCAAGTTTCTGTAGAAATTAAATCTAGTTCAAGTGAAACAAAAAATTTGGATCAATGTAATACTACTCAAAATGTGTATGAAATTGAATCTACTGGTGAACGAAGTTCAAATGCAACAGAATCTTCTAGCGTTGAAAGTAATAATAGTAATAGTATGATGGAAAATCTTCAAGATAGACTAACTACTATGAGAGATGGATTTCTTGAAAGGTTTTTTAAGATTTATTTTCTATATCCATTTTTAAATGAATCTATATTTAATGAAATATATAATTGTCCATTTTATTTTAACCTTTAGTTTACTTTAAACCTTTTAAAAATCTTATCTTCTGTCTGATTTGTAATAGACTTATTTAACTTGTACCTTTTAGGAATATCAAATTTACATTATTTATTGTTTACAAAATATTGTTCCTAAGTTTAAGTCATTTATTGTGAAAATTTTCCATAATTTTGGATTTGTACAAAGATTTGAATATTTGCAGTGTTTCACCTTTATTGTTTCACATTTATAAGTAAAAAATTATTTTGTATAGTAAAGCCAATAAATAAAATGATTGGGAATGAGTTCTTTAAGGATTTTTACTTATATTATATTTATATATATAATATATAATGTAAAATGAAAGTTATGAATAATTTATTTTGTACTTTTAGGCATGGTAGTGAACCAACTGTTAAATTAACTTATTCAGATAAAAGTTCTACAAGTGCTACAATTTCCCTTGGAGTTGCAAATGTAGAAAACTATCAACAAGGTAATAATAATTTTATTATAATATAATTTAATTAAACAATAACATTTCAAAAATACTATTTATTTTCCAGAAACTTCTGAAGAATCTTCTAAAAATAATTTCTCTAATCCTGGACCAAGTAATTCTTGTTCTAAGCAATTTACTTATGCCGCAAATCAAGAAGGTTAATATGTAATAATATTCTAACGTTCATGCATAATATAAATATTTAATTTTGTTTACTGTTTTAGCAACTAATGAAGATATTTATAATGATAGTGATGATGACGATATTGATGCAGATAGACGGTACATATTAACAAAAGTGTGTGCACATCTTCTAATATTTTAATAAATTTTAAAAATTAATAATGACTTAATAGAATGGATAATCCTATTGAATTGGAAATGGGTAAATCAATAGAAAATACTTCAGGTGTTCAAGGTCTCGAAAATTATAATAATTCACAGTCAGATCTACATGTAAGGCAAAAATATGTGGGTCATCGCAATGCCAGGTGGGATTTCACTGTGTTGTTCAAAATTTTGTTATTAATAAATTTATAGTAAGTATATCAGATTAGCTTTCAAAAAGATGATAGAAAAAATGTTTAAATTTTATAAAATTAAAATTGTTGGTATTGCATCTTGATTTTCGTTTTCTGTTTTATGTAAAGTTATAATTTCGTGTTACTTTCATTGAATTGATTCATTGTTATTTATAACTCATAAAAGTAAATAATATTATAAATACATAATAGATTGATTTATTTTTTAACTTTTTAATTAGAATACAATAAATATAAAACCTATTATTTTACAAATTTCGTAACTTATTAATTTCATAACACATTAAAACATTAAATTTTTATAAATAATTTATCTAATATTAATAAAAGTTCATAATACCTTTAAATACAGTAAAAATTATATAATATTAAATAATATACATTAAATTATTATTTATAAATTAACTAACTTCAAATTAAATAAATGTTTTTTTTGTATATTAATTATATGTTAACTAAATCTTATTTTCAATATTTATCAATCCAAGATAAGATGCTAATATATTATCAAAAGTAGCTTTATAATGTCAAAAACTATTTTATTTTTTCAAACATAACTTGATTATGCTTTCCCTCGTGTCAAAAAACAAAGCCTCTGAAGTGGACAGATGGGCTATTAATACAAGCCCAAATAATATTCTCATATAGTACCCTTTCTTCGTGTGTGTGTGACTCTAGTTTCTTTAGGACTATGATCAAAGAAGCAAACTTTTGGGGTGATGACTTTGTCATGTCAGGCAGCGATTGTGGTCACGTTTTTGTTTGGGAACGGGACACAGCAAAGTTGTGTATGCTTCTTGAAGCGGATCAGCATGTCGTTAATTGTTTGCAACCTCATCCGTTTTTGCCAATGCTTGCTACTTCAGGCATTGATTATGATGTCAAATTGTGGGCACCTATTAACGAGGAATCTAATTTTAATGAGAAATTTGCAGAAGATGTAAGTTACATTTAATATTTAAATTTTACAATTATATAATGTATCTTATTTAAACAATAAAATTCTTAAAATAATTTTTTATTTTAACAAGCTTTTGTTCTCAACGTTATTTTATTTAGAGAGTCATAAATATCAACATTTTTTTCGTGAATATTTTAACTATAATTTTAAAGAATATGTATGTAGATTGAGTTTTGCGGCCGAATAACTTACTTTATAAAATCTGAAACAAATTCAAATTATATTTTCACATTTTGCTTATTTTAATTCTACGTTAATGCTTAATACTGCATTTCTTAATACGATACAAATACACATGAAGTTTTCTTAATGTCTCGAATAAATTGAATAAATAAAAATGACTTGATTAAGGAAATTAAATGATGTAGATAAAATGTATACATTTATTTAATGATTTCAAACGCGTGTATATTATATGCAACAATGAAAAAGGGCATTCTTGCATCTTTATTTAATCTAATGACAAATTAATTTTCCCGGATCTTGTGATGTGTTTATGGAAAATTATGCTAAATTTGGGCTATATTTTCACTTAAGATAAGTTCATTTTCTACAATATATACCTTTCAATTTCTATTAATTCTGAACCAGATGCTATGTAAACTATGGTTATAAAAAAATGATTTTTCATCTACCATTATAGCAGATCACATTTTAGGAAAAAATTATGTATTAATTATTTTGTCTTTTTCGTACTGATTGCAATTACTTTTTTGCAAGGTAACGAAGGTCGGAATTACTTAAAATTTATTTTTATAATAGCAAATATTTAAGATACAGGAGATAATTCGTCGAGGGCAGGAAGTACCTATAAGATGGTGAATTTAGGGTATTAATAGGAGATTTATACTTTGAGTACGAATAATGTCATATTTATAAAATTGGTTAAAATAAGTCACAACCATTTCTAACTTGTGCTACTATGACTATACTATTAACTTCTATACTATACTATTAAAAATTTCTCTACATCAAGTTGTATATTGAATCGTTGAATCGTTACTTTAATTTTTCACCATACAAGTTCAGGTGTATAAGAAAAAAATGTTTATTTGACGTTCTTTACACAAAAGCTAATGGTACAACGTAATCTTAACATTGATAATTGGGATTGAGTGCTATAGTTACTAATGTCTTTAAATAATTTGTAACTAAAGATACATTAATACATTAATAAGTTTAAAAAACTAAAAATGTATATTTTTAAATTCCAAATAAATTATAATATTCAATTGAATGAAAATTGCTGAATATTTTATAGATAATATAATTGCCCTGAAAGTCTTAATAAAAAAGATTTCCAATAGTTAATACTTGTAAAATGTATAATAATGTTAAAGTTTAAGAAATAAGAAATTTCATGAACTATTCATGTGTATAAGTATTTAATGCATTTTGAGATTCACAGTTTAACAAGTTTATTGCATCAATAAAAATATTAAAATTTTTAGAAATCTAAAATAAAAAGGAGCAAGTGTATATATTATAATATGATCAAGCTAAGAAACGATAAAAAAATGTTTAATAAATTTACGTTCTTCATAAATGGTTTTAAAGTTAATTAATGTATTAGTATTTCGAACGTTATTGATTTTATTGATATATTCTCAATTATACAGAAAAAAAAGGTTTAATAAAGCTCGTCCATAAACTATTTGAATTTATAAATTGTTATAAAAATATAAATATACAGTGTTTGAAGTTCGTAATTCGAAGGTATAAAATTTTATTTACTAGATTACTTTATAACATTTTTACAACTAATATATATGAACTATTTTTGTATTAATTAACAACTTTATTTTTTAAATAACGAAAAATGATTTCTTGTATTAAATATTATTCACTATTAAGCATAATTATATTTTTATTTTTATCTAAAATTTAATTGTTTATTTTATAAAACTTAATCATCATTATACTTATAGTTGAAAAAACGAAATGCCGTTATGTTGGAAGAAACCAAAGATACAATTACTGTTCCTGCAGCATTTATGATTCGAATGTTGGCTTGTCTTAATCAAATCAGAAGAGGTAATCATTTTTGGAAAATAATACAAATATTTACATTATTGTTATATAAGAATTACCAAATATTTAAATGCAAATGGATTATATAGACTTAAATTAACAATATAGAAAAATTTAAATTAACCATAATTATTTAAAGAAACATAGTAAAAATTTTATTTCCAAATATTTTTTATAAATTTTAATTCTAATGAAATATTTGATACTAAATAAAGGTTAATAAATACCAAGATAAAAATCATTTAATAATGTGTTTTAATAAAAATTTAAAAATAATAAAGATCTTGTTTTTTATATTTTAAACTGTTTATAATTTATCATAAACATGTATAGATTATTAAATTAATTGAAAATTTGGTTTTTTTATCATTTAAAATTTTATACTTAATAACGAATAAATAGTGTTTCGATTTGAATCGATATAAAATTAGGATAAAATATAATTTCAGTATAATTTACTACAATATTTTAATAACTTTTTTTATTATATATATTATATAATATTTATATTTAGGTCGTGGTCGAAATATTAGAAGAAGCGGTGATGAAGAATGAAGATATATATTTTTTTTAGGAGACATTGATTTCTTTTGAGTTTTTCATTGGCCATTGTGATGTATTCATTTTTTATATTGAAAAAGAAAAAAAAATTATGCAGTGAATGCAAAATATGTTAAAATGAGTAAAGGACATGCAATGTAGTTACATTAGGTTGACTATAATTAATATAAATCAGTGTGTTGAAAAATGATACAAAAAACTAAAATATGCCATACCTTACACAATTACAATATATATTTATTTTAATTCTTGATAAAATATTAAATTTTATTTGTAAGCTATAATCAATAATAGAATATAACTAGATTTAACTATTGTAAGTGCAATATAACTTATAACATTATGATTAATATTTATCCTATGTTTTTATATGCCTTAAAATATAACAAAAGAAATACAGAAATTACTTTTTGATTATAAAGAAAGGACATTTATTAAAATAAAAAATGTGCCTTTTTGAAAATTTAAAATATAATTTGTAGTAAGAATAATTGTTTAAATTATATACATCATAAAGAATTAAATGTAAAGAAAAATAGGTTTTTGTTAAAATGTGATAAATGAATTATAATTTTTTAATTATATTTTAAAAAATTAGAATATTTATATTTAATTCTAACCATACAATGTTGCTCTTTGAAGGATATGTTGTAAAGATTAAAGTTGAAAGTACTTCTAAATTTATATAATTTTTTAATACCTAGAATTTACTTTTTCGTAAAGTTATATAGATATCTTAATATTTTTAATATTCACTATTGAGAAATATAAATAAATTTATACTTTTTATATTAATTCAATATAAAGGTACTATAATTTATCTAATTTGATTTTTGTATTCAATTCAATCTATAGTTTGCTTATAATCAGTTTGCTATGCATCTTATTGAATAGTTCACCATTATTGTTAAGATATAATAAAAATATAAATCTTGCATTAACTGATTAAATAAATATTTAGATTGAAACCTTTAATGTTTTTTTTTTTTAATCTGACCATAAACTAAATGATAGTATCTACAAAATTTTAACAAATAGTTAGAGGCACTATGAACATTGAATATTATTACATATGCAAATAATATATAAATTCTAGAATATGGATGAAAATAAACAAAATAGAACTATGTTATTTTAAATCTCAGCATAAGAATGACGAGGTACATAGTTAATATTTTTATAAAAATATGGTAGACGACAAAACCATTCAATATATTTATATATTTGCCAATTAAAAAAAAAAACAAAAATAAAACCAATTATAAGTATACTAATCCAAGTTTTTGTATAAATTTTTAAAATACTAAACCTATGAAATACATTTAGAAATATGTACAGCTTATAATAAAATGGATTATTGTTCACTCCTGACATTTTGATCTGAAATATTGTAAGCTTAAATCTGATTCTATTTCAGTAGTATAATAGTATATTACATCATATAACTAAATATAATAACAGTTCAATATAAATAGCAATGAATGTGGATGTTTAGATGTTGCTATTTCACAATGAGTAAATTTATAACACTGGATTCAACCTAGATGAATATGTAGTTTTATATAAAAATTAAAAGCTATGTTCTAAGTTTCATTAAATTTTAACATTTGGATAATTTTGTTCTAAAAATTACATACAAAGTACTTAAATAGTGGTGTAAAATTTAATTGATTTTAATATTGCTATTAATTAAAAGTTGATTGATTAAAATAAAAGCCTATACAATACTTGTTGAATATGAGGAAATCTGTCTTAAATAAGTAAAAAAAAAATTTAATTACTAAGTAATCTGAAAATACGTTTAGAATATTGATTATTTATGTATTATATAGCAGAATTATATTCAATAATATCAGTTGCTAAATACATCTCTACAAGGTAAATATTATAAAATAAATAAAATCCTGTAATTCGAGTTGTACAAGTGATTTGTTAGTTAATATTATAGTTGTAAAATAACTAAAAATCAAAACAGTAAGACTTATTCTATTGTGATAAAGTATGTAATTTGTAAAACCCCTGTTTTTTCAGTAATTAAACAAACTGTGTTAATGAATACGTCATGATTTTATAATATTTTTCAGTACATAAGTAATATAACATTCATTCCAAAAACATGAAAAAATATATAAAAAAATTTGATGTTTAAATTAAAGAAAAATATGTACAATAGTTTTTATTAAGTTTTAATGTAAGTTTTTACAAGTATTTCTTATAATTATTGTTGTGAATATTACACAATCTCGAACCCTTATCAAATAGTATTCTTAATTAATATACTGTATTTTTTTTTGTAATTTATGTTTTAAACATATTCTGTAGTTATTAGATAAAATATAACTCTTTAAAATATTTATAACAACATTTACTCAAAATTTATCTCTGGAATTTGAGAGAATGCATTGTGATATAAAAAATGTTAAAGATAAATTTATGTATGTTTGCTAATATGATCCATGCTCATTCTAAATACTTAAATTATTTAAATTTGATAAAGTTCTTTATAGTCTTGAGAGATATTTTGCTTGTGTTATGTTTGTGTTGTTAATTATTTTTATATTATTCCTTGATAAGTATTGATGATTACATCTACAGAAAAAGTTAACATAAGTTTTCGTTTCAGATATATAAAATTATTTGGTATTTGTAAAAAAATTGGTAAGAAATAAATATTTTGTAATTATAAATAATTAATATAAATCTCACTATTTACCTTTTTGTGGCAGTATAGATTTAAAGCTTTGATAATGAGTTGGTCTCATTAAAAAAATTTGTTTTTCAAAACTAATATATTCACATGCAAGTCTTGTTTTAAATGATTACATTACTTATTAAATTACTTAATTATAATTAAATTCTTTATGTTTCACAGATTTTTATAAGAAATTAACTTTTAAAATTTTATATAAGAATTCATTTTAACTATTAATTATTCTATTTATAAAATTTAACGATTAAATATCTTTTGTTAAAAATGTATAACATTTTATTTTTCAGTGAATTTGAATAAAAATATATGAGCAATTAAAATTATAAAAATATAAAATTTTAAAGCTTTTCAATGGTTTTATATTGGTGATAAATTTTATTTTATGGATATAATTACTATTAATTATCCATCACAGATGATACTATCGAAGTTATTCATTAAATAATTGTTAAATATATGTACAATTATTTAATTACTTACATATCTATATCACGTAAAATTGAGAAGAAATGACATTCAAACTTAACCAAGATTTATCAGTCTTTATACCCGTAATAGCTAAAGAAACTTATAAAAGAATTCTAATATCAAATTGTAAATAAGTACAGATCTTAATTAGTCATTAAGAATTTATGATATAAATGTACTTTTTAAGACAGAATATGTTTAAAGTATATAAAAAAAATTGCAAATTCAGTTTAATGTATCAAATTCTACAATCTGGATCAAATCTAAAATTAATCATATTAATATCAGTTCAATATCATTATTATAATAACCAAAATATCTTTTTTAACTTAAGATCATTGTCATAGTTCAAATATTCATTATACTTTGCATGAAATTAAGTTTTGAATATGAAATCACGTTAATAAGACAAAAATATATAAGCAGGTTAAATATTTAATTCATACATCCTTAATCAATAGTATTTTATTATTAAATAAAAAAAAAATTTCATGTGAAAGTTTGACACTAATCTTAAAAACTTTTTAAATAATTTTTGCTATTAATAATATTTATTTTACGACAAATAAAAGAAGTTTTGTTGACATTTATTTCACAGAAACGTTGATATTCAATAAAAAATTATCAAGTGAAAGATGGGGTATTAGAATCATTTAATTTCATAGAAAGCAAATCTTTAATTAAAATAATCTGTAGTAAGAGACATACTTTATAAGGTAGTGCAGCATTTCAACAGTTCTTATTAAAAGATTAAACAATATTTTTTATTTTTATATCATGCAGTTTGTTTTTGATTATATACTTGTCTATGCTTGTCTATATATTACTTGATTCTGTGGTCTTCCAGTTTTAGTACATTTCTTCATTTTATTTATTTTTTATAATATATTAAATTTAATCTTACATTTTTATTTTTATTTAGTATGCAGGTTGAACTTGTATCTTGCTTTCTAATAAATTTAATCTAATTTTTTTTCATGCGTTTACTTTCATTCCTAATATTATGCCAAGTTTTCACATTATTTTATTGTAGTATTTGTTTTTTCAAATTCTTTTTGACTTTATTATAACAAAACAATCAGATTTTTTTATGCTAAATGAACTCTTGCAAATGAAACAATTTACTTAAATTGATAACAAATCACCACTATCTACGATTTTTAGGAAGAGCTAACTAACTGACAGAATTTTGTGATTTTGCAAACTAAAACATTTGAAAGTATTTGCAAAAGAAATAATCTAATTTATCCTCACTTCTATTTAATGTATACACTTCCATCTAGAATAGTATATCTATACAACCATTATTCATATGAACATTACATTGTAAATTATCTAATATTTATATTATTTTCGATCTATCAGAGATTAGTCCAAGTATATAAGACATATCTCTGTTTTTGGCTATTAAAAATAGATATGAAAGTAAGTAAATATTAATATTAAAAATTACAATAATAATAAACGGATCATTTCACTATAAATTTAAAATGTTGAGTTGAACCTTCATTACTTACAACAAAATTTCAATATGATTAACTTCAAACAAGATTTAACAAATTTAAAAGATGGGTATTCATGGCTATATTAATCATTTTAATTAAAATAACTGTCATCATCCATTACATAAACTTATCAGATATTAAAATTTTAATAAAAAACTTTAACCAAAAAGTTGGAACTCACGGCAATGTCTTTGTTTTGAAACTCTTCATATAATACATGTTCATATTACTTTTAATATGATTTTTCATAAATATTTTTGTAAAATATTAAAAGAAAAAAAATTAATGTAAGGGCAAATTAAATGAGTTTCTCGAAAAGAAAAGTGAGTTTGTTTCATACATCATTCTGTACATTCAAAAAAACAACTAAGATTTCACAAATAAAACGTTTTAAACATGATTAATAGTTTTTAAAACAAAATTTTTTTAAATGAAATAAAAATTTGAATTTTGTATGATAAAAAAAAATATTAATTTAACTTGACCTTGCTTTTAATATAGTAAGTAAAATCTTCTAACAATAAAATTATATTGAAATGAAATTACATTGATATTTCAAATATTTAGTTTTTCACAGAAAATTATATTTAACTATTTAACTTTTTTAATTTCAGTATCTCCAAAATAAATTAGTATTTTTTAACTAATAAAAATGAAATTGTTCCGGATTGGAGCAACGTTGAAGAATTTTTTATAAAATGGAAAATTACAAGCTGTCAGACGCTTATGTTTGAAAAAATTAAATTTGAGAATTCTTATCTATTTTTCGCCTTATTGCCTAGCGTTCTTTAATATTTCAGCATAACAACGACGATTTTCAATTATCAAACGTTACAGGGCAACGTCCTTCTAGACTTTTCTATTATTCTGTAGCTTTTTTGTTCTGATGTTATAGAGACCTGCTGTCTAGCAATAAGCTCAAGCACTGCTGCCATTGTTGCAAGCTGCCTCACTATATATATATAAGAACAGCTTGCTACGAAATTCATTCACTGTACTTTAACCAATTACTCAATCATCAGTTAATACTCAGTATAATTTAAAACAATCGTTCATACCTATTATCGCTCAATTAATAAAACTCAGTCAACCTGTTATTAGTTATTTACAACTACATACCAGAAATTAATTATAGTATACGTGCATAACGCGTGGACTACAACCTAATAATCTAATAAGTCAACAATGACGTCAAAAAATCATAATCCTTTATGTGTTATATTCAAAGAGCACGAGTGCAAGTGCATATCTCAACAACAGCTATGGCTTATAACTTATCTTAAACAAAAAATATAAAACTGTTCACAAGGGTTCACAATAGCTACAAATGAAAATATTCATCTTAGCTTCAAGGAGCAATTGTTAGAACATCATCTAAACGTGATACTGCTCAAGGAAGTAGAGAGATTTACACCTCATGCTGCTGCGAGTAATAAATTCCATCACCACTAATATAATTAGTGTTATTATAATTAATATTATCAGATTTTATAATCATTTTATAATCACCATTAATATAATTCTATAAACATCATTTAGTCATATCATTGTATTCACAAAATAAATAGAAAACCAAGATACACTGTGTGTTGAATTGAATAATTATGTCTACCTCCTCCACTTACCAGCAATCATCCCCACCTAAATCATCGGGAGGTCTTTTAGTCTGATCCCAGACAGAAATATATGATATAAAATAGCTTTCAATAAAATAAAAATTTAGATTTAAATGAAAATTTTTAATTATATTACATTAAAATCTTATTAAACATAAATACAATAACTGGTTAGCATTTTTCCATATTTATTGTTATATTTCCTTTTGTATTAATGTTATACTTCATTATAAGTATAATATTATAATAATAAGCAGAATTTAAATTAATAATTTATTTTTTAATAGTTCCATTTATTTGATAACACCTTTTCTTGAGACTTGAAATAGTTTCAGTAAAAAATATTAATTATTAATAATGACATGAATATTTTTACCTTTATATTTTGGAATGATTTCTTTTATTTGTTCCCTGTCTTCTTCCCTTTCCTCTTAATAAAGTAAAATTATCCTTGTTATTATCAGATAAAGAATCATTTTTGATAGATTTTACAACCATATCACATCTTGCATTAAAAAAACTTTGTTCCTAACATTATAAAAGCCCAAAATTTTTATATAAATATTTTATTTTATATAAATATTTAAATATAAATATTTTATTGCAAATCGAAATATTACCTCCATTTTTTCTTCTTGTTTTTTTTGCATTCTTATGTTGCGATAATCTTGAATTGCTTTGACAACTTCTTTTTTATCATTATAACTATTTTGTATCAAATAATTAAGAGTTTTTTTCATTTGATGTCTAAAAATTACATAATTTGAATTGCATGGAATAAAAATATTTTACCTGATAGTTACCTTACTAAGTCATGAAATGCTTTTGTATCATTAGTGTTTACAAATCTTAATAATGCTCCATTGAGACCTGTTAATGATAACACTGTAAGTTTATTGATTCGATCATGTTCATTAAAATAATCGGTCATTCCTCCTTGAATACTTCGTTTCCAATCTTTTGTATTCTAACATTAAAAATTTTATATTTAATAAATAAATTAGATAAATGAAGTTTTAATAAATAAATTATATATCTTGAATAAATCAACAAACATTATCAAAATTAAATATTTTTGTTATTTCATTTAATTCTAGATTTTCAAATTTTTGTATGTCCTTTTTTCTTAATTTTGAAGAACATTTATGAAACACAATAATGTCATTTGGATTAGCTACTACATGATAATATTTCTGTGATAACCTAATAAATAATATGAAAACATTAATATTTCAATAATATAAAATAATTTTATATATTAGAATCAATTATAAATGTTTAAATTTATAAGCTTGTGTCAGAAAATTTTAATACAGTAATAGAAAAATATTTTATGTAATCAAATTATATTGATTATATTACACCTCACATTATACCTCAAAGTTTGAAACATATCATGATCATCACTATAAAAAATTCTTAATCGTATTAATGGTATTTCTGGCTGATTTTGATGTCCTAAAGATTAATTATATAAATATATTAACTAAATTTATATAATTTATTTCAACTATTTACTTAGTAATAATAAACCTGTTTGTAGTTTAGCAACTTTGGAAATTAATTTGTTTTCAATATAATTATCAATAAACTCTTCTACTGCTTCTGTACGACTTTTAAATATTGTTATTTCATTATTATAATCATTTAAAACTAAATCTTCAAACACAAATGGTCTAACAGTTTTCAATTTTAAAGGTTCCATTTGGTATTTATTTTTATATATACTTAAGATTCCTACGTGTTTTGGCATTGCTTCTCCAAGAGTTAATGATGTTGCTATAGAACTACCTAAAATATTTTATAATTATTGAATGACAAATTTATTGATAAAAATTTTGTCATTTAATAACCTGGTTGACAAATATGAATATTTCTATTCAATTTTGATTCTTCTGGTATAATGAGGCATTCGTGTTCATGTCCCCAAATAACAAGATCTAAGAAATCTGGCAACAAATTTTCAGGAATAAAAGAATTATAACTGTGTGGTGCTCTGTTTTGATGTAAAATAAAAATGTTAAAAGGATCCTGAATTTCATTAGTTCTTAACATATGAAACTGTTGATAAAATTTTTTTATTACAAATATTATAAATTACAATAATTTAATGAAATATTCAAAATTTTTATACTTTTTCATTTCTCATTAATCTGGATAATCTTTGATCATTCATATAACTTAATCCATAGAGAGCTACAGTAGTAATACCTTTGGAAATTAATATTGGAGCAATTGAAACTTGAGTAACATCTGTCCATTTCCCAAAATAATTAACAAATCCTGTAGCAGCAAGTAAATCTAAAGATCCAATAGCACCAAAACCTACAATACAATTTATAATTATAATAAATATTTTGTAGTTAATTTTAAATTAAAAATGTTACTATATTAATAATACTTGGATCATCATGATTTCCATGAATTGTAAAAACAGGTATTCCAACATTTATATTTGGATCTTCATAGTTAACATTTTTATTATTACAATGATTAAAAACCAATTTTGGATCTGTTAATAGCTGTATTTTTACAGATCTATAATACAAAATTTTTTATTTCATTATATATATAATAAAAATAACAATATATAATACATACTTATCACTCAAGCAATATGATCTTAATAAATTAATACATTGTGTAATCACATTGGGAGGAGGTTTTGCTTCATGAAATAAATCACCACCAAGAAGTATAAAATCAACTTCGTAACTTTTAGCATACTGTAAAATTTCTTCAAAAACTAGAAAGCTATCATTTTCTTGAGCTAAAAAATATTTATTATAAATAAAAAGTATTGTGTTTGTGGATAATCTTAAAATATCAGAAATTAAATTATTTCAATGTATAAAATTTAAAAAAAAGTGGTGGTAAATTCTTAATTATTATTTATAATGAAATTTTTACATACTTCTTTTAATTGTTTGTTCATAACCTAAATGAATATCACTAGCAATTAAAATTTTTAATATGTTATCTTCATTTATGTCATCATTTTTCAAATTATTTGGTTCTTTTGTAAATATTTTACTACGTAACATTTCTTTATATTTTTATATTTAATAGTTATGAATAACAATGAATTATTTTGTTATTTAAGATGTTAAAATTATTATATTTATTTTGATTTATTCATGGCTTAAAAAGTAATTCAGTTAGACATTAAAGCGACTATAATAATAGACGTTTATTTAAGCATGCGCAATGAAAATCTATTTAATAGTTTGGTTTTTATTATTTTATTTACAGGTTGTTTTAAATGTATATAATTATAATATACAATTGTATATGAACGAAGAAGCTAATGATAATGATACATTATGTAATGAAGAAATTTTAAACTTTTTGTTGTTTTATTTTATTTTATATTAATTTTACTTTTTTTATTTTGATTGAACTTGCCGTTGATTATTTATATTAATGTGACTTAGTTAAGAACCAAAGTAATATATTTTATTTTTGGGGTATCTTACAAACTTAAAGTTTATAGTAACATTATGATTGAGTACTTTTAATACCAAGATTTAATTTTTTAAATATATACATTGTTGCAGTGAAAATTTTATATTATTTTTTATATTTATTTTTTTACTTGTGTTTTTCACAATAAAGCAAATATTTATTATTTTAAAATTAGTTTCAATTAAAAAATAAGTTATTTGTACATTATTTTTCTAAATGAGATTGATTATAATAAAGTTTTGTTGCCTTAATATTTGTATAAAATATCTATAAATATAAAGATATCTATACAACAATCATTAAAATTAATTCAAATTATTTAGATTAGTAAAATATTTAACTAACTAAATGTATTTAATTATTACTGTATATTAATATATCTCAATATCACTGTCTGAGAAGAAGTCTGAGATTATCTCATTGAAAATATAAAATTAATTTTAACAAAGACTAGAAGCATCTTATATAATAATAATATAAGTCGAATCAATCATAATATAATATTCTAATACAATATACTTAAAACCTGTCAACATTTACAGAAAATCCATGAATATACTTTCATTTCTCTCTCTTTTGTTGGCAAACTAAATCTCGCGGAACTATTTGGACCTATACTCAAAATGCTTAAAAAAAATATTTATTGAATTGTATTTATTGTATTGAAATTGAGAATATGGTAAATAAGAATGATTCAAATTCCCGAAGGACTTATTTATAAAAAGAATATCTCTTATTTGAAATCCTTTTCTTTCTTTTTATTATTATAAATTGGTATTGAATTTTAAGTTTTTCAAATTCTGAATATCTCTTTTATATTATTCTTAATAATAGGACTTAATAATAATAATAACATATATAACTTAGTTAAGTGTCCAAAGTAATATGAAATATGGTTTAAAATTATTTTTTATATAATTTATAATGTACAAGAAAATCTATTTTTATTTTATTTATTTATTGTTCTGAACATTAAATTTATATTGTACTTCAATTGTATTACCAAATAATATTCGACTTTTAATGAAAATTTCTAATAAGAAATTTATATAGGATATTATTCTTATTGAATTTATTATTGTTCATATTACCAAGATGTTTATATTTTATAAATATAATTATCAATTTTGAAATTAGCACCATTATAAAATGCAAATGTTTGTATATACATATAAATTGACAAACGGAATATGTTTAGATTCTGATTGGATTATTTTTTTGAAAAATATATATTTTACAGAATTACAATAATTGTAATCAAAGGACATAATTTGTAAAATTTTGTAATAAAATTAATTTTAAAAATAAATTAATAATACAATGAAATTAATAATCGTTAATAACCAAAATAATAAAACTATTAAATTTTAAAAAAAGTTAAAACTATGTATATCATATACTTCATTGATAATCAATAAGCTGATACTTCCTTTATGTATGCTTCAGATGGGCACATTATATTTTTACTTACATACTTTCACTGGATTAGTCTCCATAGAAAAATATTTTTAATTATAATTAATATACAATTTTCTATTTCAAACAGCGTAAAAAAAAGTTTATTAATCATGAATTAAAAAATATTTTAATATGGCTTATTTATTTCAAATCGATTGTGTGCGGTATGCATGCAGTTGTGGTTCTTTAAAATCTATTGCAAAAATTTATTTTTGTAGACACTGCTTAAGTATTCGATGTGGTTATTGTGTTTGTCATGAGGTACAGAACTTTATTTATATTTTTACTATGTATTAAGAAACCTTTTAACGTTTGTAGATCTAAAAATTATATTGATTTAAACATATTTATAAAGTTATTGTATTTTACTATTCAACATAGGTAGATTCATATTATTGCTCAAATTGTTTGGAAAATCCACCTGCTTCAGAAGTTCGATTGAAGAAATATAAGTAAATCATGTTCCTATATATTTATTCCATCTTTTATTTTCATTAATTGTAAATCTTAAATTATATTAAATGGTAATATATCAACATTCATATTTTTATTTTATTGAAAAGATTTGGCATTTATATAGTTTATTATATATTTATTTTAAATATGTTAATATCTTTTTCTGATTTTTATGGTAATGTATTATATTAAATTGTATATAAATTTATTTATTTAGATGTTCTAATTGTTTTGATTGTCCTTGCTGCTTTGAAACACTATCAATACGTTCTGGTCAAGTATTGGTAAAATCATTACATACTACTCAGGAGGAATCGAAACCTGTAACAAAAAAAATTTATTATTTAAGTTGTACATTATGTAGATGGAGTTCTAGAGATGCTGGTATTCCTGATCAAACTGTTGGTTTGTTAATAAGAAAAGTATTAAATATGTAATTAAATATTCTATAATGATTTATAATTTATATATATTTTTTAGCAACTGGAAGTTGGAGAGAACAAGAAAGTCCAAACACATACAGAATAACAGCACTTATTAATTTTTATAAAATTTTAGGTTCTATTGAAAAACAACAGAAAGAACGCAAAAAGTTTCAGTCAAAACGAATTTTTCTTCAATTTGTAAATATATTTTTAATTACTAAAATTAATTTAGTTTAGATTTCATACAATTAAAATAAAACAATATATAATTTAGGAAAAATTCGGAATTACTTCTACAATGGCTAGAAAACGTGTTGGTCAATTACCATTGTTACAATCTAATACACAAAGTGACCAACCACAGCCATCAGAGGCTAGTGAAGAAATCGAGGAATTATCACAAGATATTTTTACTAAATCTATTGATATAACTAAAAGTGAGGAAAAATAAAAATATTAAATGAATATTTAGTTAAAAATTAAATACTTTCTTTTATGATTTTGTTATAGTCACTACTTTAGATCAAAGGTTACAACATCCTGAATTACAAGTTGAAAATATTAATGAATTACGGCCTCAAAGAAAACAATTTATAGTAAAGAGATCCCAACGTTGTAGATTTTGTGAACATACTGTTAGTAAACCTGATTATTGTCCAACATCTACTAAATTTAAAATTCAACTAGCAGCTTTGTATAATAACTTTCTCATTGTTAATGAGATTATATATGATGATTTTGTTAATGAATGATAATTTTGTTTTTATTTATAGCTATCATGTTCCAGAGCTCCGTATTGTCGCATGTGAACCATTACGCCTTGGATATTCTAGCGAATTACTCTTAAAATTTTGCAACCCCACTCAACATCAAACACAAATAATACTTTTGTCAATGGACACACCCATGATGCCAACTACAACAACTTTACAAGGTATTAAGGAAGAAATAAATCGTGAAAATGTTCAAATGGTATTTACATTTTAATATACAATGCTTTATTATTAATCACTTAATTTAATATTTACAAAGTATTTGTCATTAATAAAGATCAGATAACTTTATAATTTTCAAATTAAAGAATAAATTTATATATTTATATATTTTTTATTTTATCATATATATTGAATATTGGTAATACTTAAGTTAATAATTTAAAATTAAGAATTATAAGCAGCTAACGATTAATTTTGAATGTAAAAACATAAATTTTATATTTGCCTTAAATACTGTAACTTAACATACTCTGATAATTAATTTTTTTCATTTTTTTATACCGCTTATTTTCATTTGATAATAAGCAATATTTTACATTTTCATTATATTAAAAGAATGAAAATTTTTAGTATTTCAGTTTATCAATTTACCATCAATGAATTTAAAAAATAAATTTTATAAATATGGTTTATCATAGTTAAAATAAATGTAAATAGGGTTGTGATTCTCCAAATTTATTACCATCTGCTGTTCGACAAGCAATTGTGGTTGAAGAAGGAAGACAGGTAAACATAGTTATAAATGCTGAAGTAATATTACCATCTAGTTCTTTTATATTACCACCAAGAGATGATGCTGCTGAATATGATGATCCAAGTGATAGTCAAAATTCTCAAGATGATCCAAAGTAATGACAATGCACTTTAAAATTCTTCATTAACCATTTACAATTTAAATGTACTTATATTATATAGGTTAGTTGTATGGAGAAAAGGCAACAAGGCAATCATAAGATTAGATGTAATACCTTATGTTGATAAAGATAAAATGGTTAAAGATGAACCCATTGTGGTTGGATTAGCTATGCAATATGGTTATATCAATACTATAGCAACATTAGAACATAAAGCGCCACAAAAATTAGATTTAAAAGTGAAGTTATTTTTAACACTTGGAAATTTAGTTCATAACATTTTATAATTTATAGAACTATTTTGATTAGTTATAATACTAAGCTATATTATTTTGTAATATAAGACAATACAAATATAAAATTTAATTTAAAAAAAAGTTTATTATGACTTTGTAATAAACCATACATATAAATTTTTAAAGTCTGCGACCACGACGACCTCCCTTTCTACGTGTTGAATCAGAAGGAATTGGTGTAACATCTTCAATTCGTCCAATTTTCATGTTTGATCGAGCAAGTGCTCTAAGTGCAGATTGTGCACCTGGACCTGGTGTCTTGGTTTTATTACCACCAGTTGCTCTAAGTTTAATGTGAAGAGCTGTAATTCCTAAGGATTTGCATTTTTCTGCTACATCCTAAAAAAATATAATTTGTTAGTCGAATTCAATATCATTGCCAATATTAGTAATAATTTGTTTTCTATCAAAGTAATTATATATTAAAATTTAAATTGCATTTCGATGATTTAATGTTGATATAATTATTTTATTTTAATAAAAAATTTACAAAAATTAATATTACCTGAGCTGCTAACATAGCAGCATATGGAGAAGCTTCATCACGGTCAGCCTTTACTTTCATACCTCCTGTCACACGAGCAATAGTTTCTCTGTAAGGAAAATATACGTTATCAAAAAATCTAATCTTAAAATAAATCAAAATATAGTTAAATGCTTGAAAAATCAATTTAAAAATATAATTTTACCTATCAATGAAATTGTTAATACAAAGGCTTAAAATTACATTATTTAATATTTAATTTTAAAGAAACTAACATGCTTAAGCATTAAAATTGTATACCAGTCAATAAATGTTTAAGTATAATAAAACAATATTTGTGATCTTTAGAATTTTCGATAAATGTATTTAAGTAACAAATTTCCAGCATTAACAATTTATTCGTTTCAGACTTTTGTTAATAAAATTTTTTGTTACTATAATTTAACCTTCCAGAAAGATCAGTAACATGCACAAAAGTGTCATTGAAACTGGCAAAAATGTGAGCTACTCCAAATACATTTTCTCCTTCACGAACTTGTGGTCCAAGAGAGACTTGAACTTCTTCTTTTTGAATTTTACCCCTTTTTGGTGCCATTTTACTGAAAATAATAAATTTGGTACTTCTGAATAATATTATACAATAAGCAGTTTAAGCTAATTAGTATTTTTTCTCAAGAGAATACAATAACAAAATTAGAGTATTCTCTAATTTTCTAATTATCATATTTGATAATCAACTCAAATGTGCTTCGTGTATAGATGAATTTATATCTATGATAATCATAATTCAGACACAGTAATTTTGATAAATTTAAAACTTGTATTTTAAATATATGTTTCTTTTTTCAGAGTAATTTTTTATTTAATAAAAATAACTACAATTTTATACAAACTTTCTGTAAAATAATACTTACAAATTCACAAAATATGTTGGCTAAGAATACAATAGAAAGAATTACCAAGACGTAGTCTATAATAGAAGCGCAATCATCAAACATCGGTGTATTTTGCCGCATGCGCTATCGAGATATTAGTTTATTGGCTCTTGATTCAAATAAATATGGAATCCAATTTACAAATTCATAGTTATTACAGGACATTTAAGAAAATTAATGTAACATTTCTTGATTACTTTGTGACAATATTTATTTTATTTTTACCTCACTTATTATAATAAAAAATACTGTAATTAAAATGTAACTATTAATAAATACATAATATATAAAGTGTATTTAAATAATAATTTAATCAATTAAAAGAATATTTGATTAAAAAATTAAAAAAAAAAAAAAAATTAAAAAAAAAAAAATTAAAAAAAAAAAAATTAAAAAAAAAAAAATTAAAATTAACAAATTAAAAAATTAAACCTTACATAGAAATTAAAAGGAATGTTAAAACTTTCTAAAAGAACTTATACTATAAATAAATCTGATTATATTATTAAACGACGCTAATACTTATAGAACTACACATGTTGCACATACTATCATCGTATTTGTATTTACACACATAGTTAAAATAAAATATGAGAAATTAAATAAATATTAATAGAAGTGATAGAAAAGAAAAAAAATAGAACATTTTTCTTCAAACTTTTAACATTGAAATACAAAATATAATATAATTTAAATTTAGTGTACATATACTTCTATAATGCAGCAAATAAAGTTTAATTGATTAATTAATTTTAATTATTTTCACTTAATTCCCAGAAATAATAATAATGTAAATATAATATAAGAACATTATTTAAAAATATTATTCGTATCAATATTCAAATCAGAAACGTACAAATAAATAAATAATAAAAAATAATATGAAACAAGAAAGACATGTATATTTCTCATAAAATTTAAAAATTAAATAATTCGTATTTATGTTAACTTTATGATTGAGTATAAATCAAATATAATAAAAATTAAATTAAAATATAATACTGAAATTGAAATATTTATTAAAATAACTAATCAAGTTTTGGTCGAGAGTGTATGTACACATAATTGTTTGTAAACATGAAAGCAAATCTGTTAAAAAAATAATTCAACTAATCTTATTCCATACATATTTTTCGTACTTTTTAATTTCATACTTATGCATGAATAAGTAATTACAATATATATATATATATATATATATATATATATATATATATAATAGTATTTATATGAAATCGTTTACAATTGCCAAAAATTAATCTTTACACAAATAAAAAGGATATAAGAACTACATTAAATTTAATACAATAAATAAGAGCCTTTTAAAAATTAAAATAAGCACAAAGGAAATATATCTTAAATAATAAGAAATACTTAACAAAACGTGATATATTTAGAGAGTTTTAGGAATTTTTTTTACTATTAATTATGAAAAATAATTACACTTCATTACATATTATATTCATAAGATCTTAGCGGTATTATGAAAATTTGATATTATATCGCTTATACTATTCAACACAAAAAATTCAATATTGACATTTTTTACTAATTGAAATAATGTAATTATAAATTTTTAAAACTAAGAAGTTCTTAAAACTAATTTGCATTATATACGCTGTATTTTCTTAAAGTATTAAAAGTATATTGCTAAACTCATACATGTAGGTAAAAAATTACGTAAAGCCAACTTGTAAATAGTTTTTAAAAAATTGAATAGAAAAATTTTATACAAAAGCAATAGTGATAAAAAAATAACTCCACTAATCTGACACGTCAGCCAGGCGTATAAAATCATCTTAGAACAAAAAAACCACTAGATGTTGTGTGGGAAAATGCTGGGCAAGTAAAGGGTTAATGCACTGATTCAATAATTAACACATATAATTATTGCTGCTGTTTATTCCATTTATTTCACTTTATTTCCAAGTTGGGATCATTAACCGTGCTGAGATTACAAATGACTTTTATATTTCTTAATAATCTTGTGGCGTTGAGATATACCCTTTTATTTGAGAACTAGAAGATGATCAATTTCTTATTCTCTGCATGTAACTGGTGAGATTACGATTCACTGTGAAAAGAAATAGGTTATAATCTATTGAATATTGTCACTTTGGAGGTTATAATCGTTGTAGTGCTCTGATCGAACACGACAATCTTGTAGTGTTTCAACTCAACACGTGTTGCAGTTGCCTCTGAATAATAGGCCGTGTAAGAGTCTAAAATAGAGGTTATACGGAGCTATGCGTCACCTGTGGCGTCAACAACTGATCGTTGCTGAAATGTGCTCTACCAGTGTGGCGCGAACAGCTGATCGTTGAAGGAAATGAAATAGTCATTGTGTGGCGTCAACAGTTGGTCTTGCTTTTAGAGCATGTCTGGGAAGCTTCAGTAGTCGGACTTTCAACCGTTCGTTTTCAGAGTAAAGCCGAGAGATGAAGATTAACTACTAGCGGTAAGGACTTACTCGCAGAGTAGCGTGAATTTTCCAGTCCCTCTTCGTTGGCTTGATGTGAAGTTCCCCTTCAATAATTGGAGCTCTTAAGTTCCCTCCTTGTCTCCAGGTGAGATTACAAGTGATCTCAGAACCTATGCAATCTAATCTTGATGAAATCAATTTTAACTGTATATTGATACACAGTCGTAGAAAGAACTTTTACTAGACTTAGCTGAACGACTTTGTCTCTGGTCCTCCTCCGTGAGAGTAAGTCGTGACTTATCCTTTCAACCATGAGAAGAATAGGAATAGGAATAAGCGGTGGTACATTACATTGCCCTTCTTAAATAGTTCACTGACCCAGTTCCATTTGGGACCCCTTCTTCTTTCAATTATCCAATCAGAGGTTGACCTTGGGCAGCACAATGGATTATGCACGCTTTCATTTCCACTTCCTTCCGGGCTTAGTCCCAAATATGTTAATCGGGAAAGTGTCGGAAGTAGGGAACCTTTACTATTAGTCACCTCTCCTTGGTCGCCTCTCCCTTCTCTGGGACTTGGCTAGACGAAGAGTCCTCTTGGGTGTGGTCGATCTCCCAATGCGATCGACTAGATGCGGCGTAGTTAAGAAACGTAGTTAAAAGCCGAGTGCGCACGTGCGCTTATTGCTTGTTGTCGCACGTGCGGGGTTTTGGGTTGCAGCGAAATTTAGGAAATGTTTGTACTCGATATTTTACGTATATCTGATACTCTTTCAGAATCTACGTCTTCTTAGCAGTAAACAACATAATAGTTTTACTGCACCGGAAAAGCATGAACACGTTTTTAGATAAGTAAGAATAAATAAGCTAACTATTCACTGGAGTTTTCCAGGTGTATTGACCATCTCGAATGTTCAGCGACCGTGGGAAGTCGTGGCAAGAAATTGTTCTCGCAATCTCGAACAAATAGATTTATTTAGAAGATAAAGTAAGCATAGAAGAAGTACGACTAGATAAAAATTAAATTGTTGTGATTGGAAGTTCTTTAATTCTATAAAATACCAAAAAAGTTAAATAAAATACTTTATCCAGCAGATTATTATGATAACTATATATTACATTTCAGTAACATCTAAAAGACTTTATTCAAATTATTAAAAGTGACATTAAATTCAAATGTAAGAAACAAGAATTCGTATATTTAAAAATATAATAATTGAACTTCTATATGCATACACTTATCTAAACAATGATTCATTGTTATAACAAATTTTTTATTACTTATTTTTTTAATTATTTAAAAAAATATGAAAACAGTATATTCAATAAGAATAAAACATAATTTTTAATTTAGAAATTAGTTATAAAAAAGAAAATTTATTTGTTATATTAATTACACATCATTCAGATAGATATATATAATTTTAAAAAATCGATAATAAACTAATACCATTATACTAATAAAAGAATCTAGTGAAATTCCGGATATAAAAAAAAATATTAAAAGAATTTATCATCCAATGATTCTAATGAATTAAAATGGTAGGTAATAAGAATAAATAACTCATTGGAAAAATATGAAATCGAAATTTGTTTCCATCTTGCTTTAATATGCATTTTTTCATAATTGAAAATTAAAATTTATAAAATATTTTAATGTATTTATGAAAATATTTGAAAAAAAAAATTTATTAAGTTTGTAATATTTATTTGATTCAATTTCAATTTTAATTGTATATTGAAAATATTTTTTTAATTAATCGCAACTACTGTATGAAATAAATATAACAATAAAAATAATGATAAACTATTTAAATATATTATTAATTATAATAAATATAATAAATTAATTTGTAATTACAATATTTTTATTTTTGGTTCTTGCTAGCAGTTGACAAGTTTTATAAATGTACGTCTTAAACTATGGTTGTTGCTCTTTGAAATGTAAATATGAGTTTAGAAATCGATAGATAAAGGTACATGAAATATTAGATAACTGTTATTATTTTTGAATACACTCCAGATTATGACTAAATTATATAAAGCGATTCCTTTCTTAATACTTTACTGTTAAATCTACTGTTTTTATATTTTTATTATTTCAATAGTATTAATGGAAAGTATTCTATCTTACTATTTCATTTTCATACTGGATTTTATTTTTGTAATCCATAACTTTTTACTTAATCTGTCTAACAGTCCATCTCACTAGAAATCGCAAATTTTTGCTTTAAACTATTAGTAAACTATAATAAAGTAACAATGTTATTAGATTTATTCAATAAAATAAAACACTTTAAAAATAATATAAACTACAGTAAAGTATTTTAATTTGTTCTTATTCCTTTCGTGAATACAAAAAATTACTTATACAAAACGTATAAAATATAAAAACAAAATATTAAAAACAAATATTATTATTTAATTAAAAGTATAATCTTAAAAAAAAGCCACATCATTATTCACATTTTTCTTGCGTTCTTAGAATTTATAAGAAGCATTAGTTTCAATATTTAAATATAATTCAATAATGTATCAAATACAATTAAAAATTTTTTTATGATAAAATAAAATCGAATACTAATTATAAAACAATAATTATCAGTCTAAACATGTGACTCCTTCTTATACTACGATAAGCCAGTTAAATAAGAATATTAAACGTTACACACATGATTAAGTAAATCAAATGTTTTCAACGGTATTTTTAAATAAACTGTATTTCACGATCAACAGAAAGTATAATAAAATGAAAATAATAATTAAAAAATATATAATGTAAATTTAGAAATCGAATTTGTTTACATATAGGGTTTATTTTTATGATTATAAAAAAATTAAATTAAAAAAATCTTAAATGTAAATATACATGCTAAGGTATAAATGCTGATTTTTGCACGTTTTTTATAACGAATTTGTTAATATTTTTTTTATATAAACTTTCAAAATAAAGTATGTGCAGTTTTATATTTAACTCTTTTGGAAACATGGAACTGCTCATCTTTTAGAAAGTTAAGATATTGTAATAAAAAACTTATTTTTTCTAAATTGTATTCAAAATATAAATATCTATAATTTGAAAGTTTCTGACTTTGGAAATCTGCATTAACATAAGTGTTGTATCAATTGAATCCAAAATTCAAACAAATGAACCATACAGTCAACATATGCTCTTATGTAAATATAATTAGCAGAAATAAAATAGGGTTTATAAATTTATTTTTAATTTAGTAAATATCTACTTAAATCCAATTATTTTCCATTAAATAAATATTTACTAAATCAAGATGATTGTAAAATATATTATTTAGAGAAAATTCAAGAACACTATTTTAACAATTTCATTAAGGTATATAATACTAAACTCTAAATATATTATATCTACATTATATTATTTAGTCATTTCATATTTAAGATACATAAATTTCTGTACATTTTTTTAATTTTGTGTATTTACATAAATTTAAACGAAAACGGTATTATTAAAAAAATAATAAATTAATAGAAAGAAAACCGTCTACTAAAATTGTACATAATAAAGGAAATACTAAAATTTTATATTATTTTGAATGCATAACATTGAATATATATTAAAAATAACCAATAAATATTTGTGTTTTTAATAACATTAATCCTAACAAAATAATTAAATTAATAAACTTTAAATTATTTTCTATTTTTTCGAATAAAATGTTCATTGTTATACTTATTTTGGTGTAATAATTATTTTTTATTATTATATTTTATTTAACAATAATTTAATAGATGTAATTTATTATACTTTCCCAAATATTTTTGTGAAATCAATGCTCCTTGCTACAGAACAGATGGAAGAAGTAAAAAAGAAAAAAACTAGTAGAAAGCAAAAATAGATATTTTATAAAATATTCAAAAAAGATAATGATTTGAATACAAGTGTAAAAAAATGTTTGTAAAAAATAGGACTGAGGTAATAAAAACCTTACAGTTATTCTGATATTATACTTTTTATTGACTCTTTGACAGACCTTGGTAAAAAAGGATATCGATCGTTAAAACTTAGTCCATTTGTCTAATTATATTCAATACTGACGTGCTTTAATTTTAGATTTATAAAATAATATGAATTTAAACACAATATATACTTAATAATTTGAGACTTATTTCATATAAATAAAAACAGAATATGTAATGTAAATTCATATTTGACATAATATTATAAAGATTAATTAATTGATTTTAATACTTATCTAGAAACATGTAGCAAAAAGGAAATTGAAAACGAAGGCTACTACAAATCATATGCATTTTTTAATAAAAAAAAAATCTTTTAAAAATATTTGACCAATTTCTTCCATTTTTCGCCTTATTAGCCCATAAGATAATATAGGAAATATAATATAATAAATAAAAATAATTTATAATATTATTTATTTCTTTATTATATTAAAGATAAAAGTAAGCAAAGTATTTTTAAAACAAAATACTTTTGCATAAATATTAAGTTTATCATTTACATTTTAACATTAGTAAAAATACATACAAATAATAATTTCTAAAATTAATATCGCTAAAAAGTATTTAATCTCCATTAATACATATAAAAAATAAATTTCACGATTTTTAGAGTTCTAATTATCTATCAAAGAATTAAGCTTTTATATATCTTCATCATACATACGAATAAGCATTGTAAATTAATATTTATCATTCTGCAACAAATATCACAATTCTAATTAAAATTATTATTTATATATATATATATATATATATATATATATATATATATATATATATATATATATATATATCATTATTTATATATATATACATTACAAAAAATTTATATTTTTAAAATATTACATACATATTATAACAATTGGTAGATTTAAATTTAAATCGAATATTTATAATATCAACTTTAAATTCAATTTGATATTTAAAAAATTTTCTCGACATTTATAAAAATTTAATATTGTTTATAGTGTATAAATATCTGATGTTAGTCCATTTAATTATTTAAGCAAGCTTAAATATCATGAAACTAGATAAAGTATATTTAAATATGTTATAAAATAAATTTTTGCAATATTGTTTCAATATTGTTATCACATACTTGTTAGGTTGCAACTACCAGTTACTGAATACTTATTATTAAAAAAAAATAATACAAAATTTATTGATAGAATTACTATATCATAATGTACAAAGAAATTTAGTTTTTCGGACGGAAACGTGACATATAAAAGTCACAATCAGAACAATAAATCATTGGCTCAGATACTTGTTTCTTACGGCATAAATGACATGGTATCACTTTAGACATACCGGTTACTGTTAATTTTTGGTCAGTTAAAACATTTTGGTTATTGTTTGCTGAACCTTTAATTTTGCTTTGTATTTTATGTATTTGTTGTGTTTGTCGTTTTATGTGTTTTATTTGTTGCAAATTTTGGCAAGTTGGATATTTCATATGTGATGGTACTTGAACACTCGAAAAATCTTGACTTTGCGAATGTATTATCTGTTGTTGTTGTTCAACATTTTGTGAGTGTCTCATATAATTGTCTATTTTTGGCTGACATGCGATTATAGTTCCAATTTGTAGACATTTCTGTGGAGATGGAATTAGGTGAGTCAATGAGTATTGGTATTTATCTGTTAAATTTGGGGTACATTGATAGTAATTGAAATGCTGATCTTTTTGTGGTTGAGAGATTGTATTTGCTGACAGATATTGTAAATTTTCAGAAAAGTGTTGTGAATCGGAATTTGTTGATTGGTCATTTATCATATTGAATTGATTTTTTTTATGTGGTTGTTGTTGTTGAGAAATAATTGAATTTGCACTTTCATTTTCTATTTGTTGATTTATAGAATTTTTATGTTGCTGTTGTATTGTTATTGGACTTTTACTTTCTTCCTGAAATATTTTACTAATAATATTTTGTTGCTGTTGAGATGATAGAATTTGCTTGCGCATTTGATTATTTTGTTGATCTATCTTATAACATGATGGATACGTAGTTTTCAAGCAATCACCTTTAGGATATAAACTATTTTGAATACATTGTTCTTGTAATAATATAGAATAAGGACTTATTGATTGTTGAGTTTGAGGGAAAATAATATTTTGATGCTTTGAGCGCAATGTTTGAACTTCAGGATATGTATTTTGTGTATAAAGAATTCGTTGAAATGATGGACAAGTTGTAGTAACGTTTGGACTATTCGAAGCGATTGAACACTGTTCATTTCGTATGTCCTCACAATTACTTTCACAAAACGGATATAAATTTTGATTTTCTCGATTTCCTTCCTCACTCAAATTTAAATTTCCTAAATTAGATTCAATATGTTCTGAACGTGAATTAATGCATTTTAATTGGTCTTGAAAGAGAGTTGTAAATGTATTATCAGCTTCGCTTTTTAACGGTAATGTATGTTGTTGAAATTTCATAGAAATATTTAATTCACTGTTCATTTCAGTTTTTTGTAAACATTTTATTTCTTGTAATACTTGTGCTGTTTCTGGTTTATTCTTTGCTGATCGGAGTACTCTTTGTAAAATTGGATTTGGAATATATGAATTTTTTTCATCGTCTTCAGCAGTAGCAACAAGAACAACTTGATCACAAAATGAAACAGTTTTTTTTTTACCAATAGGTTTTTTAATTTTAGGGTGTACAATATCATCGTTATTAGGTAAGATAGTAACATTTTGAAGTGTATTTTTCATGGCAACATCACTAATATCATTCTCTGGATAATCAACAGGTAATCCATTTTCATGTGGTAAAGTCAAAGACATCGATAAAATAGTTGCATTTAATTTATTTTCATTTCCTGTAGGGGAATCGTTTATCATATAAGCTTTAATATTTGGACTTAGTGATGATTCAATAGAAGGATTTATAACTTTATTTAGATGTTCATTTTCTAGTTTATTTGTTATAATATTATCTTTGATATTTTTGGTTAATTTAGGATCTTCTAATTTTGGATAATCTTGAGTGATTGTAACAATTGAATTTGAAAAAATGCGATTATGTGACTTAATATTTTCAACTTTCTGTTCAAATTTTGCAGCTATATCTCTAACTGAAGATACAATTGTCCGTGAATAATCAGTAACATCATGTCCAATATCTGTGTTTATTATTGAGCCTATTTTAAGATCATTGGTTCTGGCAATATTAAGATTTATAGTATTTAGTGTAGAATTCATTCTTGTTTTTGGAATATCCTGATCTAGTAATTTCTGTTGTTTAAATCGTCTTTCAGCTTGCTTCGTTTGTAGTTCTTCTATCCATATTTTATTTTGATTTTTTTTATTTTCATCAATGTGAGACTCTTTTCTTTTTTCTACAGCCTTACAAATACGCATTTGCTCTCTTTTCAGTTTCAACTGACTTAAAAGATTAGTAATGTGGTGGGATTCATATTTGTATTGAGTATGGTTTTGAGATTCTTGGAAATGTATATTTTCATTTAGTTGTATTTGATTAATATTTTCAATTGGTGACGGGGGTGGTGGAAAATCATCGCTTCCGTCTTGTGAATAAGAAACTAATGGTAGAATTGGATATGGTGGAGGAGGAAATTCTTCACTGAATTGTCTTGAATGTGATACAATTCCATTTTCAGGATAAGGTGGAAGGAAATCTGTATTGAGTTTTTGTTTCTCTGTGATTTGTTCATTGTGAATATCAGCCTGGGTTATAACAAATGTTGGTTCACAAAGAGTACTATTCGCATATTGAACGATGTCATCTTCAGCTCGCTGTTTACTAAAATTGTAAGTATTTTGACGGTTAGATTTTGATATTTTATTTGGATTCTTCTCTAAATTGTAAGTTGCACCAAGTGATGATGAATGTAACTTTGAATCACAGTTTGTATAATTTGATATTGAAGGATTTGTTTGCAATGGATGTTTAACGCTCATCTGAGTCCAGTAGTCGTTAGTCTATAAATTCATAAATATTAAAATTAATTAAAAATTGCAAATTTTTATTTTATTATCCAAATATAAATATGGTTTAACGATATTAATGTTATGTATGATCGATTTTTATATTTTAAATAAAATATAATCAAAAACTAAAAAGTAATATTAATTAATTTTAAATAATGTAAATTATATTAAATAATTTGAATGTTTAATAATAAAATTTGTATCTTTTTTATGGCTTATTTATAGTTAAATATGACTTAGTAGAAATAAATAATGACCTGAGATTGTGTTTGGTAAGGAATATTCTGCTCTTTTGTAAGTCTAGAGAAAATTTTATCTGCCTGATATTCGCTATTATGTACTGGATTTGTCGGTTTCGATTTGCTAAGTTGAGAAGTTGTTCTGAGTGGTGGTGGAGGAGGAACTTTTGTTACTTGTAATACTTTACCAATGTTATTATGAAAATTCTTTTGCATTAGGTGACTTTTGTGTATGTTAGGGTTATTTGAGCCTATTTTATCATTACTAGCGTTCGTGAATTCCAAATGACCCTCAGAAAGATAACCACAGAGACTTTTCGAAGTATTTTTTGAATTGAGTCTGACGTTTAAGTCGTCAATAGATTGTTTTGATAAAATATTAATTAATCCGTTACAATTTGGACTACTTTGACTATTTTGATTTTCTCGTAAATCTGGCATACTTTGATTTTTTCTTTTTGTTAATCCACTCATCAATAATTTTCTTCGAATTCTGTGTTGCTTTTTATTTTGTTTTTGATTAATTAAAGGCAGAGAATTTATCTGTTGGTTTTTCAAATACTTCAATGAATCGTCGACATTATCAAGTTTTTCAGATTTAGATAACTTGGATATCGATTTTGATAAAACAATTGATAATTCTTTAGATACATTTTTATTGCGGTCTTCGCTAAGTGCTCTTTTTTTATTTTTTTTTTCATCATTTAAATGTCTTGAATTCTTAGATAATTCAGTTGTCTGCATCGGACAGTTGTAAAGTATATATTCTTCATCTTTTACAATATTTGCTGCTGTGATTTTCTTTTGCAAACTTTTGTTTTTTGGTAATGTTGCATAAATTTCAATACTTTTTACAATGGGTTCATCTACAAGTGCTGGTATATTTACTAAAAGTTCTCGACTATTTCGTCTAGAATGATTTCCTTTATCGCGACAATTTTGACGTGAATTTTGAATTAATTTACTAGTGTCACGTAAATGTCTATTTTCGTTTTTTTCTGTAATAAAAATAAATTTATAACATATAATTTAAATACTTAAATAGAATAACACATAATATTTAAATTCAATCTTATTTTTAACATATATATGAATTATTATTTTAATAGAACGTTTTACTTACCGTCTTTATTACTATTTATTACTGCCTGTTCTTGTTTGATTTTCTTTTGTAAGTAACTCATTCTTATCACACAAGAGTTATGTTTTTTTTTAGCTAAATCAATTGTATTGGAATTACTGTATGGAATATTCATAGCTTCTCTCGCTTTGCCGGTTGCTGCAGTACACAAAATAACTGCTTTGCCTAAATCTCCAGCCCTTTCGGCTGCTTGAGCTTTTCCCATAAGAGTATCGGTTTCAATCCATAATCGCTCACAGTCAATTGTTGATATTTGTTGTTCGGGTATTTGTGCAAGCTTCGTGGGTTATAAATTATTATGAATTAGAATAATTTTTAATAAATAACCCTTTTAATTCTTAGATATAATGAAAATATAATTAGTCATACAAAAAATAATTTTAAAAGTAAAATAATACACCTGAAGATTATGTTTAAGACTCTGTTGAAGTGGCAGGCTGTCTGTAGAAGATAAAGAATAAGAATCATAACCAGCATCGTAATGAGCACTGTTATTGTTGGAGAATTCAACAGATTTATATAAAGGACTTTTAGGCATGCCAGTATTTTTATGCATCTTATTAACAATATATAGGTATGGATTATCCATTGTTGTTGATGAACTAGATGAAGCACTATTACGGTCGCCTGACCAATTACCCGAATCCCGTCGCTGTGAAATGTTCAAATGTTCACGTATGTTTATAATATCTTGAGGTGAACAGGCAGAGTTAAGACTATGTGTTAATGCAATTTGTTCTTTTTGTTGATGTATAACATTTTCAACTCTTTGTCCGCCAACATATTTTGAATCAATATTATCATTAACAATATCGATACCCTGTAAAAATTAATTTTTAGCATTTCTTACTTCTATTTTTTATTAATTTACTCTTTAATTATTTTTAATCATTAATTTACATTAATACTACAACTAATAACATAATATTTAAATAATTTATTATAATTCATTTATAATTTGATTAAATTTACTTGATTACTGATATTGTTTGGTATATCTATAAGATTTTGATAGTCACTCAATATCAGTTTTTGTGTGTAAATGTAAGATGGACTATCTGGGTTTGGTGTTATCGCTCGTCTTGCTGTATTACTAACTGATGGTTTTTCCGGATTAGGTGTTATCGATCTGCTCTTGTTATCACTCCCTTCATTATTTATTATATTAATTTTTGATACATTCTTCATATTAGTCGGAGACGTGCAAGGTGACGTATATAACAATAGTAATGGTTGATAGCGTCGACGACAACATTGATCAATGACCTGTTCCCATCGGGGTCCTATTTCCTTGACGTTTACATCGTCAAAATATATCCATCGCTTTAGTTTTGTGTGGAAAAAGAAAGTGGAGTAGTGTTTACCGTAATAGGTTATAACACCTACAAGATTGTGGACTACTGATGTTCGCCAGTGTGAATCAACTACGCTATGAAATACATCACTAAGTCGCAAAGATATGTTTATGGTAGCAAATACATCAATTATATGCTGAATAGTAGGACGCTCACTGTCCCACACTATACCAATTGAAATGATTTCTGGACGATTTATCAATGTTCGACAAATCTGGATTTTTGCTCCACAAGAGTTCTATAAAACGGAATAAAAATATAAATGATATAAATATAATATATAGTCTTTCAATTTTCTTATTAAATTATATATTCAGAAATTTTTTTTTATTTAAGTAGTAAATTTAAACAGTAAATTATGTTTATAATGAAATGAAGTTCATTAAACGATTGTCACCTTATCTATTCGTATTTTGTAAATACATATAAAATATGTTATTTAATTAGGCTTTTATAACATTAACTTACGGGACATTCTCGAATATTTCCCATACCACTAGCATGACGTAAAAGTTGACCAAATAAATTAGGATTGTTTTGAGAAGATAGTAAATTATGTCTTGCTTGCAATGTTATTGTTGACGCTGATACGTAGTGAATCATCTATAAATAAATTATTATTATTTTACCAACTTACTTTACTTGAATATTAATATATCAAGGTAAAAATATACCGTAATAAATAAAAATGAAATTAATATATATTTAAAATATTGCTTGAAAATTTTTGTTTATTAATTCCGAAAATTTATGTACACAACTTCTGTTTTTACTCTCTTTGTTTTATTAATTTAATTATAAAATACTATTAATTATAATAAATATAATTTAGTGTGGAAAAAGTATATATTTTTGATTTTATTATTTTTATAAAATGTTAATATTATATAATTATTATGAATATTCTATTAAATTTTATTATACTAATTTATTATAACTTATACTTGAAAAAAAATTATTAATAACACAAATTTTATATATATTTAAAACCTAAATCAAATAAAAATAATCAAATTAAATAAATCAATTTTTGTTTATTTATTGATACAGTAGAATACATTTAAAATTTATAAATTATAAAAATAGTGTTCATGAAATTTGGCATTTGAAATACACGGTTAATTAAGAAATAAAACTAAGTCACAATACTGTACAAAATCAGAATACAATATATAAAATTTAATTAAATCAATCTACCTTCCCGAAAGTAACCATTATCTACACTTTTTCACATTTTTGTTTACTATGCTTTGTTCATAACATATTTTCATATACACAATCATTTATTGCTGATTTCATTAGTTTTCCTTTTTTATTTAAATCTTAATTTCAGAGTGAGAATTTATGAATTTTCAGATAAAATATATGACAATTTACTAAAAAATGTATATATTTTTTTTGTATATTTTTTTAAGACAAAATTGAGAAACATGCGCGTGCCATTATTCACTTGTTTAAAAATCATTGATTTTATATACATTCTGTATTTGAGATACATATATATCTTTTTAATCGATCAAAATAGCTTTAATTTATGTGAAAACTGAGATATCGTTTTCAGTATTTTTATATGAATTCGACTCAAATTAAATGCAAGTTCGTTTTTATTAATTAAAATTCATATTAATTTTTCAAGAAAAACCAAGAGATATTAATTTTTCTATATAATTATAATTACCGTATATAGCTAAACAAAAATATCATAATAAAGATGTATTTCTCTTAAGTAATAAGTAAAAACTTTGTAAATTTTATGTAATCAACATAAACTAATATTTTCTCAAGTAATATTTGAATAATAATTAAATTAAATAATTATAAAGTTTTATTGAATTTTTATATCAATAAAATTTATTCATTATTTATTTTAAATATACTAACCTGTGTGAAAGGTAAAGGTTCTGATGTTGCACCACAAACTCCACATACGCTTTGTTCGACAAGAATCATAGCAAATTTCTGATGTGGTATACAATGTCGTGCATTACACATATCCGCTGTCTCACTGCTTGCAATATGAAGGTGAATACGTAATAAAATGGTTTCCTTTATTATAAAAATCATATACATTATTTTTATTAAAAATTTAGTAAGAAAAAGTTCGACTTAAAAAAATTCAAGCAATTAATTCTTGTATCATTATATAAAGTTATTTTATAATTATGTAAAGACAATTATTTATGTACTACTACTAATAGAAACATTAATGCAATTTAAGAATTAATACGAAGTCTACGATAAGTCTAACATTTAATTTTACAAAGCAATTAAAAAAAAAAAAACTAATAGGACACAAAAAATCTCAATGTACATTAATAGGATAATACTCACAAAGCATTCTGTAGCATCATCCATAAAATCAAATTGAAATTTTTGCTGATCAAGGAAATTCTCTGCAAGAATTCGATGTAGTGCATCTAACGGCAATGTGCTTTCTTGAGAAAATTGTAACTGTGAAAACAAATCCTAAAACACAATAATAGAAATATTTTTTTTCACATTCAACTTATATATATATACAAAAAAATATGTGTGTGTGGATGTGTATGTATGTGTTTAATTGCTAATTTGAAATAAAGTATATAAATTTAATGTAATATTGGCCATATCATAACAATACCTATTTGATTTTACAGAACTATATTTATATCAAATAAATTAAATAATATCATGAAATGGAACAATATTTATGAATATATATATTCTGTACACGTAACAGAAACTTTTCTTTTATGACTTTAATTTTACAAACAATAACAAAATTGTTAAAAATTATACTTTCACTGATAATGAAAACAAAAATAGGAAAAAAATAAATAAATAAATAAAAATAAAATAATAAATAGTTAAAAATAAATAGAGATAAATAAATAAATAAATAAAAATAACTAAATAACAATAAATAAATAATAATGAATGGATACAATAAAATATTAGTATCCTTATCTAAGTTTACTTTGTAATAATTCTCATTCTTTATACTATTATTGACTATACAAAATTCTAATTATATCTCAATTATAAAATGAAATTCTTTCATTTGTCCTTTCAATTGGACTTAATTAAATTAAAATTCATTATAAATTTAATTACATTAAGTATATTATTTTATATATGATAAAATTAATAAAATACTAAGATAAGAAAAGATTTATTTTGGGGCAGAATAAGAAAGACGATAAAAATAAAGAAGAAAAATATAAGAAAAGTGATAAATAAATGAAAAGGGAAGATATAAACAAATGAAAAATAAAATAAAAGAGTATTATTAGATACTAATATTAGTATTAGTAGCTATTAAGTTCTTTTGCTTTTTTGCACTTTACATCCAAACAATCGTTTCAAAGACATTAATATTTTATAAATTACATCTTTTTTCTGAATTTTCGTATCTAATATATTTTCATTATAAAAATAAGTTGGTATTATTATTTATTCTGCTACAAACTTTGTTATTTTTAATTAACATTTAAGTGTACCTGTATAAATAAACATAAGCGCAAACAGCCTTGAAAGATCCTTATCGTTTTTACATAGCGTTTACTTCGATATGCAACTTTTTTTTTCTGTTCACGATTATAAAATTTATAGAAATATCTGAATATGCTACTAACATAAAAGAAAATGCTTAAAGGAATAAAAATACTATCTTATACACTGATTTTTTTGTACTTCTAACATTTTTTTTCGTATTAATTGTTTGCGGCAGGAGCTTCAATTGATATCAGTATAATATATTTCGACATAATTTTTATCGTAATAAGTAGGGAATGCAAAATAATGGTACTACAGTTTATATAGAATTTCCTTGAAAACTGAAAAAACTGAAATCTCCAAATTGTATATTTATGCATATTGTCGATATTTCATTTTTACGTATTCCTACAAAAACACTCATCATAAAAATCAATCGCTACAGTTTATATCTGAATTTTGCATTGTGCAGTTATTGGAGCCTATTTACATACTCTTGTATCGACGGAAAATCACAATTCTTTTCATTGGATAACTCTTTTTTTAAGCCATTACTCTTTGTTTTATTACCTTTGTCAGTATGTACAATTAGTTCCGTTCGGATCTTACTTTATAAGTAGATTAGTACAAATATAAATTGTAAATAAAATGTACAGAGAAAAATATTATAGATTATATGATAAAAATTATATACAATAATTAGTAACCAATCTCATATCAATAAGAAATGGATGGATTCAAAAAATCAATAAGAATTCAGAAATCAATAAGAATAATAAAAAATACATATAATTGAATGGAATATATATAGATATGAATCTGTTTTCTTATTGCATAAATAAGTATATTTAAAGATTTATTTGGATTTATGTAAAATTATATATAACTATTATATGTCATTAATTGTTATATTAATTTACATTAAGTAATTAATTTAAATTAAATATGATATACAGTATTAAAAAAAGTATATACTTTGAAAAAAAGAACATCATTAAAAATTAGATTTTATTTATATTTTTAATATCATAAATTAGTTAATCTACTACGTAAACTAATTAGACATTAAATATTTAATATACATATTATTCACTATACAACAACGTTAACAATTTATAGATATATAAAAATAATATCATAGGAAGTATAAAAAATATGTAATTTATTCCATAAAAATATATGCAAATATAATTTTGAAATTTATGAATTTAAAATAAATAATTTTTTATATTTCATTAAAATCGTTTTAATATTTTTTCTCTTTTTATTTTGATTAAATATATAATGTTATTTTTAAGTATTTAATTATATTTTTGTAGCCATCTAATAAAAATCGATTACAATAATTTATATTAACGATCAATTCTACAAGAACCCACTTAATGAAACTTTAGTTAAATAATTAAAAATTTAATTGTTTAAAATATTGAAACACTTTATAAATCTTTAATAAAATAATAAATTCTACTTAAATTGTAAGTAATCTATAAATAATTTTTATTCATTAAATCGACTGCAATAGTGCCATTATAAACCATATTGTAACTTTGTAAATACATATGCAAATTATCGTAAAACTGATATTTTACATCATGCAAAAGTGTTAACTTAAAAAAAAATTTTTTAATTATAAAATTGCTATTTAGTATTTAATTATTTTCAACATTCGTTTTAAATTAATATAATAATTAAACAATTAAGAATGTATATTTTTCTCATATTATATAGATGTTATTACGCGGCATTAGTTAAAATGGCATGTTAATCATATAATGTTAGTTTCATTCAATATTCATTTATTCAGTTTTATCTTCAAATTCAGAGGCAATGATTTATATTACAACTTACCATGTATAAGTAGTATTTTATTAATATAATTATTAGATTAATAGTTAAAAATTAATGTTTTTTTTATTATCAACACTTTACACGAATAAATAATAAAATAATTTAAATTTTCTTTTACCAGATCAATATAAAAAATTGAAGGTAATAAGGTTCTGGTATAAAGATATTTTTAAATAATTGAAGTTTTAAAAGTCTTTTATTTCCGAAAGGTAGTTACGATTAAAGGGTAAAAATAATTATATTACTAGCGTGTCTTGAATTTTAATTTGGTGTAAACTATTATAATTGCTCTAGTAATTAAATTGATGATTTAAAACGTATTAATTACTATTCTATTAGTAGTAAGTAATATTCATTACAAAGATGCTTATACAATTTATATTATTCAGTTCTTATATTATTTCAATTTCTTATAGTTTTTAGGTATCTATAATTTACTTACAAGAAAATCAAGTTAGTCTATACATTCAATAAATACTATTGATTATCCATGATTAAAACACTTATTTAATTTTGATTTCAATATATTTCGTCAAAAAATACATGTTATAATTTTATTTTAAAATAATATTTATATGTAATATACTTCAGTGGTATAACATATGGAACCGCTTGAATATTTATGGAAATCTTCATTCTATACTGTCGGTACAGGTATTTGTGACAAAATTATTCTGAAATTTATCTTGTAGTGATATCACTAAACTTGTAATAATAGGCATTTTAATATTATCATCATTATATATATCAGTGTTATAACTGAAATCACATGCGATGTTATTATTTAGTAATTATTATATATAGTATAGAAAGTAATTACAAGAAATAAAGAATAATAATTGTTATATAAATATTGTTTTTAATGAAGATTATAAATAATATAATAATATGAATAATAAAAAAAAATCTACTTAAAAAATGTAAAATACGTAATTATAGGAAAATTCATTTGAAATAATAATTAATTATTAATAATATATGCTAGTAAATAAATAGATATCTATTATAATTATATAAAAACATTAATATCCTAAAATTTATAATTTTTTTGTATTATAAAATTACATCAACATAGAATTAATTTATAAAAGTAAATATAATTTTTATGAACATACAATAACAATTTTTACCATATCCAGGATTTTGAAAAATTGTTATAAAGAGTATTGAAAATCTTTTTGACTGATGTACATATTTATAGAAATAATTTAAGTATATAAGTAACTGTGAAATGCCAGGAAGTTTTTATCGTATTTCGCTTTCTTTTTAACTGAGATTTTAGAAAAAATGTATAGGTGTATAATATTATATAAATTTTATATACATTATACAAAAAATATAATTATTCATTAGATACATATGATTCCTTTTTAAAGTATATTTTCATGTCCTTTTCTTACACTTTTTCTTTAGAATAAACATTAATTTTTATACTAAAATTCCTTATTAAAATAAATGGTAATTAAACCTGTATTAAATAATAAATAAACTATTATATGCTATTATAATACATATAACAATATTTTTAAATCTAATACATTTTAAGATAAACAAATATATAAAATTATTATTTTTATTTAAGCGATTTTTATAATTTCCAAATTATTTTTATATTTAAAAATACATTCATTTAAAAAAAAATAAAACTTTGTTACTTAAATGATTTTAAATTTAGATTTAAAAATTTTAATTGCTATATTTTAATTTAAAATAATTTACACATTATTTTTCAAAATTTTCTGTTTTGTGTAGTAGACTGTTTTTCATTTTTTTACACTACAAGTCAGTTTACTATGAATTTATAAATTCGTCTTCGAACCATATTAGATTTGTCGATAAAGAGGGACAGGAATACACTACATGGATTTTGCATTAAGTCACATCTACATAGTGATAAACGTTCAATTATCTAATACTAAGTTACTAATATTTAAATTATTTTCCATAAGATTAAAAAGATATACCAATACATTTTTCTTTTTCCTTTCTTTTTCTGATTTATCGTTAAATTTTATTTTATTTTCAATAATCAAACAGTATTATTTCTCAAAGATTTACTTTCGATAAAATTATGGATTTACTGTGCCAATTTACTTTACCAAACATATATATTGTATAAAAGTATAGTAAATTAAAATATACATTTAAAGATTAAAAATGACATAATGAAGGTGTTACAATCATGTCTGTTTTATTCTATATTTTAGATTATTCATTTTAGCAATTATTCTATTATTATTATTTTTTATTGCTGTTGTTATTATAAATATTTATTATACTTTATTTTGGAATGTTTTAATTAAAACCAATAAATCTAAGACCCGTAAAAAAACGAATGTCAAAGTACAGATGAAGATATAGATGAATATACACAGAACTGTCATGTATACAGATACGTCACTAATAAAGCATTCTCAGACTTCCTATAGTATTCATACCAGTAGATCTTAAAAGTATCTAATGAAATGATATGTAAAATAAAGACATTCAACTATAATTCTAATTATTTTTTAATACTATATAGTTGTAAAGTTAAGTAAAATAAAACTTGATCAGTACACCCAAACAATAAATAAGATTGTTATTATTTTAGCTTTTAAATTTTTAGAATAACGTTCCTGAACTTTATTAATTCATTAAATTTTTATTTCTTAAAAAATTAACTTCTACTTAATAAATGAATTATTCTTTTACAATAAATTATATTGCACATGTGTTTATTTTCCAATGATTAAATTTATATTACAATTTTCTTCCGATTCTGTCACTTCATACATTTCAACAAACTAATATTTAAATCGTTACATGTTAAATAACTATACTACCTTTTTAGTCTTTATATAGCAATACATTGATTAAGATATAAAAGCGGCCTTTATGCACAACTTGCTAACATTTATTAATAATATGATATATTTTATATTATTTACGATATCTAGAAATATTACAGAACTAAAAAGTTTAGTCAATAAAATTATGCATAATTATATTTATTTCATAAATAAATGCATGAATTGCAAATATTCTACTTTATTTTTCTTAAAGAAAGTAATTACTATATACAAATTAAATTTTTTAATATTTTAGAGAAAGGGTTTAGGCTTCATTAACTATGAATTATATCCATTTCTTTAAACTAGGATAATCTTTAGACATTTTAAATCATTTATGTATAATTTTTTATATTTACTGTGGATTAGTTTGTTAAGATTTAATTTTTCTTGACTATAATATTGCTACATCATATTGATTGTATTAAGGTACATTCATTCTATCGAAAGTTCTGGACTCATACAAATATTTAAATATCAATAAAAACTATATCTATAGTGTATATATATATATATATATATATATATATATCTACACTATAGGCATCTATAGTGTAAATAATCCTAAATATGTGGAATCACGATAAAAAAGAATCTCAAAGGAAAAATAAGTTATATTACATATGTGATTATAGTGTTTTAACATAATTGTCATAATAATACCAGAAAGAAATTCCATGTGCAATATATTTATATTTTTTGGGATTTGAAACCACTGACAATATTTATTTGTCTATATGATTTTGATCTAAATTATTTTTCTACGTGATGAAGATTTTAGTATAAACTTACCCTTAATGCGCAGACTATACAAGATTCATTTGTGCAAGCATGAACAGAAATTTCTCTAAAGTTACGACGAAATATATCGAGATGCCACAAAATCTGTAAAAAATATGAAACTTAACCAATTTTATTATTTAATCTGATAATTATAATAAAATAAGAAAATTAAAAATATACACTAACAAAGAATTAATATATTTAATATTTAGATTAAATTTTTTTTTTAATTAATTATATTCATAATTTTCTACATATTATCGTGAGGTTTTATTATGATTAAGTTATGTTATATTGCTTAAGCAAGCAATCACTCGAAGATGATCATATCATTACTTACATACTTTAAGTTTAGATATAAATATTCAGTATATTCTTATCGTTATTGTTTAATATAATTTACAAAAAAATTTAATGTATTTCTAATTGTTATAGTAATGTTATTTTTAATCTAAAAAATAAGTTGCAATATTTTTTAATTAATTAATTCTGTGCAAGTAATAATGAGGTTAAATTCTTTAAAGATTTATCAAATCCTCTGGGTAATGGAAAATCAAAGCACGAAAGATAAAAAGAACGTATATTATCTCCAACATTAATCAAAGAATTAAAACTATTTTTAAATAAAAAAGATGATGATAAAAAATTGAAATAAAAAAGGTATTAAGTACATATCTTTTAAAATATAAATGCTATTAGTAAATTAACTTATAGCATTAATAGTATTTATGAACTATATATGTACAAGTTGTATCATATAAGACTTATTTTCATTATCCCATTTTTCATGACCTACATAATAATACATTTTTTTATTATTAAAGAAAAAATTGGAATAAAAACGATTTGAAAAAAAAACATGAATGTATATATATATATGTATATATATATATGTGTGTAAAAGTAGAAATTATCATAATAATGTTCTAATTTGAAAAACACATGCTGAATGTTAAATTAAAACCTTAATATATTTATGACTGTTTCGGCTTATTATATTATATTCAGGAATTTAATAATGTATATATACATAATATTAAATATAAATTGTATGACAATATTTCTGAAAATATACTGGTAAAAAATGTTCCTATATTTAATTAATATTTTTAATTCAACTCAATTTTATATATATAAATTATTTGTAATTTTATTATAATATAGTTGGTAATTTAACAAAATATTTAACGAAATCTTCGTATGCATAGTGAAAATATACAGGAGTTATATGTATATTATAATAAACTTAAAGAAATAATTAATTACTTCCTATAATTTTAATTAAAATTAGTTATTAATTAGTTCTATATATAGATAAATTAGAATAACTAAAATATTTATATACATATATCTTTTAGTATATATTAAAGTATATATTTAGTATATATAAAATACATATATCTTTTAGTATATATTAAAGTATGGTACATATAAGTAGTATATATATATGTATATAGTTTATAAATGTAAATAGTATATAGCATATAAAATAGTATAGTACATATAAAAAGCAGAACTGATTCAAATAATAGGATTAGTTTAATTAATTTAATTAATTTATTATTAACATATTTATAAGTTGAATAATAATAATGATTATAGCAATGAAAGAGAGATGGAGAATTTCAAAGAACTTCTACATTATCTGATTTGAATATATACTGATAATCTTTAACAAATTAATTAATTAAACACTTCAGTAATTAATATTAATTTTAATATACTTTTTACTTTTATGTACAATTAGTTTTTGTTTTCTGTAAATAGACCAAACAATTTATAATATAGTTAATTCCAGGAGAAATACACTATTAATTTAATATTAAATGGTAAATATTTTACTTTATTTGTGCACTAAATCAAATCTATGTTTTTATATTAGTGAAATGCAACAATGATTTCAAAAAGATATTGAGTGCAAAGTTTATTGAAAAAAAAAATTACAAATCTTACAATAGTTTACAGATCTTTAAATGAATTTTAGAATAGATGCAGAGGTAATTTTTTTTATTTACTGTAGTTTTGGAAAATTAACTTCATAAAGTAAGTAAAAATTCAATGATTTTATATAGTAAATATAAATAACTTGTATTGTAATATTAAATATTTATTTTGTAAGCAATATAAAAGAGTTGAAATTACAAAACTTACAGGTTTCAAAACGATATTTCTCATTATTATAACAATGGTTAGATATTTGAAATAATTAAAAAAACAAATAATTTCAGAATATTATTTAGAAAATGAATATGCAAACTATACTTTTTATACTATAGGATAATTAACATAATTTTAGATTAAAAATTATGTTCTTTTTACTAGAATACTTATTATGTAATTTTATTTTAATATTACATATAATTAGGATCAAAAGGATTATTGAAAATTATTAAAACAATTTTCATTTAAATATTTATTTATAACTTAACTAGTGAAATAAAATTTCATTCTTCCTTTAAATTATTTTTTAATTTATTATAATTCTTCTCATTTAATATTTGTTTTCTAATATATCAATGAAGATATTAATACAGAAATATTATTTAAATAAATGAAATCAACGTACAATTATAAAAGTATAAACTACCATAAAAACATGTAATATTTCTGATTGAAACTTAATAGTCAATGTAATTTTGTAATGTTAACATTTAAAATTAAAAATTCTTAATGGTAATACAATATTTTCAAAAACATAATAATTATGATTATGATAATGCAAATTTACGTATGAATAAATTACTTATTTCTTAATTAGTTATTATATGCAACATTTCAATTTTATGAGATTTACTGTTATATGACATAATCCTATATAATGTTGATTCTTATCGATGATGTAAATCATTATTAATTTTAAACGTCAATTTGAAGAATAAAAGAGATGTTATTTATAAAATTATATTAATTACACCATTCGTAATATGAGAAAAAATTGTTATAAAATATTACAAATAAGAATGATATACAAATTTTGTTTGTATGAATTTGTATATATAATATTTAAATGCTCTTTCATCTTTGAGTGAATAAACGATGCGGCAAGAGTACAATATCTATTTTATAATTTACAACTTTACTATCAACGTTAATTTATGGGCGATAACTGATGCTATCTCGTCTCCGTCAGTAAATGATGCATTTTACGAGACTAAATTCTACGCTACTTATGAAATATATTTTTAGTTTTAACATATATTTTATATGAAAATGAATATATTAAAAAATTGAAAAGTTTGTTTTCAAATAAAAATGTGCTATTGCTAATATTGTTGTTAATTATTATTTAAATATTCAATTTAGTGCATTTAAATGATTTATTTGTTATTTAGAAATTTGCGAATAATTTGAGAATAAATATTTTTTATCTTTACAAAAAGTATTTTTAAAATTTTTCGGGATTATGATTAGTATCAAAAGTATATAAAAAATCGGGAATATTATTATTTCAATGAAATTTAAATTAAATTGAGACTTATATATTGTGCTGTTGTATTTCTTTAACAAAAAGATGTATTATTACATAATATACATAATATAAATTTTAAAGGCTGTATGAATAAAAAAATATGTATTTTATTTTATTTAAATATGTGTGAAATTGTTATCTTGCTATAATTTTTATTTTCTTTACGTTTCGAAATAGGTTGAATTACATCCTGGCCTACGCTCCAATTTAATTTAGAAACAATTTTTTTTACCTTCTTTTTGAAGTATGATATATATTTCTGAGAGATACTGAATACATTGAACAAGAAATGAAAATAAAAATTAAAAAATATTAAGGAAAAATTTTTAATATTTGTTTTTAAAGAAAAATTCGTATTTTATTTACAAAACAATTGTAAGTCGAAGGCTTATAATTCACATATTTTTAATGGACTTCAAATTTGATTACAAATAGGCTCTTTATTTCATGCAAAGTTTATCATTTAATTGTAAAAATTAATATTATATTTTTTACAGTATTATAAGCATTTTTCAACAATTGTTTTTAAATTTTATAATATCTAAATTTTATCATTTGTTAATAAGTGTAATAATTAATTTAATATATTAAAATTATATCAAATAATTAAGAAGCTCTTCACTGTATTTTATTTAACACAAACCCAAACAGTTTTGCAACAAATTGAGAAATGAAAATGTGCATCAAATATAGGTAAAATATCTCCAAAAAAATTTTTAAAATTATTGAAACCTTGACTATTTGGAAAAGCGCGTGCTTCTTTGATTTCTCTTGCTTCATGATCCAGATCTAACTATTAACGATATTGCAATATGATGCAATTCCAGTGTTCAATTTGAGTTCGATGATAGATAATTTCACTTTTGTGCACACTATAACTGCGTTGCTTTTGTTCTATCACTCATGTTTCTTATCTCTCATTATCTGTGCATTAATTGCATATAATACTTCATTATATGTATATCACAACACAAAACAAATGATAACTATTAAGAAAACTACAAACTTGTCTTAAGGTAGGAACAAAGAAATCAAACGAGGAAATAATGATATATGAAAAAACTGTCAATCACTGAGTTATATTTTAAATATTTATATAAGAAGAAAAAGACTTCTTGCTTAAATGGAAAGCAATACCTCATGAGCCAAGCGTCGATACAATAATACTGCAATAACAAGGATCAGAGGTATTCTGACGATGATAGCGACGCCATTCAACGCCTGGCCAGGTATGAAAGCTTCTTGTTCTCTCATTATTTTTTAACTGCTTTTGTTACAAACTACCAGATCAAAATTTTGGTAGTTTGAAAACAATAAAATGAATATAAATAGTCAAATATAAATAAGTACATCGATAGAAGAGAGAGAGAGAGAGAGAGAGAAAGAAAGAGAGAGAGAGAGAGAAAATACTACAGAAGATGATACTATTTCTTTGATAAACAAAAATTGCTATAGGAAGTGTTTATAGGAAGACAGTTTTACGATGCATATTTTCATAGAAAATGGCGTACAAACACCAAATTAAACTTAAATTAATTTAAGAATTTAACTGTACATGTTGTATCAGGAAACTTAAATAAAAGTATACTACGCACTACTTTACTGAACTTTTAAGAAAATTCAATATACTAATACGACATTAGGTTTAATTCAAATTAAAAATTATATTTAATATTTAAAAACGAAAATTCCATAGTATTTACGAGAATATGAAATAAATAAATAATCTTTAAAATTAACAGGGTATTAAAATGTGCCGTTAAGAAATAATAAATGTTTATCAATAAAAAATTATATTAAACTTGAGTAAAATGGACTCCAATACTATATTAAACTATACACTTCTAACATAATTATAAATAATATATATATATATATATATAATAAAACATCCTTAATTATATCTGTATATATAAATAAATTATTTATTAAACTGAAATTGTAAAAAATTTACATTTTATTTCAAGTATAAAATATATTGATATTATTCAAATTAAACATTTTTTCAATCATAAATGAATTTATTTCAATAAATATTGTTTTGAATAAAATACCACCAGTGTTTAAATAAAAATATAATAAAAACTGTAAATACAAATTTTTTAATGTTTTTAAACTAGTCAATTTCTTTGGGTTACCCAAAAACATATGATAATTTTTGGTTTTTATTGAATATAAAAAAATTTTATATGCAATTATCATCTTAACTAACACGAATAATCAAATAAATATTTAGTATCTAAGCAAATTTAATTTTATTTAAAAATGTATATTTTTTATTTTCACTTGAAATAAAATTTGGTAAAAGAATAATATAGAATAAGAAGTTAAACTAAGCTTTTAATAAATAAAATGATGGAAATTCTTTACGATAACATATGCAAAAATAAAAGACAATTTATATATAAAATCACTATTTCATTAATTAAAAAAGTATAGATGCATCCTTAAATTTTTCATTTAATTTAATAGTTTCAGATTATATTATCAACATACAGTTCCATCTCTATTATGTTCCCATGAGATGAAAACAAAAGTTCTTGGGTGAACTTGATATTGGAGAATTTCGATTAAGAACAAGGAAAATGAGTTGGAAAAAGGTAGAAATGCAAAGATGAAAGTCAAGAAATATTAATAGATAGCGGAAGAGAAAAAAATTATTCAGTGCGACATAAAATGGTAATAACGATTAAGTAATAAATTTCAGCAATAAAATTAATTAATATATTTCAAATATAAAGAATGAGCTATATATAATATTGTTGCATAATTTTCTATTCCTTAGAAATGATACCATTATATTATACAATTCATTTCAGTATAATATATTTATTAATTAAATTAATTAAATTCAAAATAATTTATTAGGTAATTTTTCAATATAATTAAATTCAATTACATAAATGTATTTAGTACCGTTATATATTAAAAGGAATATGTCTATGTATGTAAAGAATTATATGCAATAAAATACTATTGAATTAATTAAATAAGAAATATACTAAGTACGCGTATAAAGATTGTCAATGTAAATTTATTTTCAGCATTTAACTTTTATGTTGTTTTCGGTAAATACATGTAAAAATGCAGTTATTTATTGGTATTCAAATAATTATACCAGTTCAATCATATAGATTAAGTATAATTATTATTTATAAAAATGAAACATCTTGTTTTTTAATTGATATTTTGAACTGAGTAGACCTATAAATAGAAAAACTAATAAAAAATATGTTTATATGTTAATTTTTATTCAATTATGGATATTACTAATTATATAAAGTGCCAATAATATATATTTTTAAACTTTAATAAAAAATTATTAAAATGAGCATTACATCAACAATATTATAAACTCTTTTAAAAAAATTATTAATATGATTACAATATTTTGAGTAATTTTGAGACATACTTATTAAACAATGAAGTTTTTGTTTAATTAAATCTCTATATATTACTTAATTATTTAAATTGACTAATGTATTCTAGTACTACTAATTATCGATAATTTATTCAGAAAAATTTATTTTCAATTTATAAATCTTATTCTGCCTGTTCAGGATTGAACCACCCAATAAAAAATAACAATTTATTGTTTGTTATAATACGATTCCGATACTTTATATTAAGATCAAGGCGCAATATTTGAATTATACGTTACAAAAATTCACTGGACATTTAGCCGCTCACTTTGTCTGCATAGCAACAAATGAAGCTTCTCGAATTTATCAAAGCTTGCTTCCAGAGAATTCACTAAAGCCTCCAAGAATTTATAACACCAAATGTATGCAATCGTATTTAAGAAGCAACGAACGGGGAAGAAAATTAGTCTTGTTGAGTAAGTCCAAATGAAAATAGTGCAAGTCATAACAGTTAATGTTCTACACGTCTTTTACGGGATTCCATGAAAGGTATACCTATTTATTTACATTATTTATTATCTATTGCTGGCCAGCTATCGGTGCGTCCTCCGCAACGTGACGCTAGTCAGACCGCATTGAGAACGACGACATAGACTGGCATCTCCAGCATATTACTCACACTTTTCGTGAACCCTCGCCTATTTCCCCTGACCGTTCACGGCCCACGTTTACCTTATCATATTTACTAGTAGACCTCGGCTTAATTCTCATTAGCAGTGCGAGACTTTACCGGTCATGCAACCCGGGACAATCTTTTCGGGACTGTTATCGATTGAAACAGTTGCAAGCGGAATACAAAAGTGGGAGAGGTATGAGCTCTCGGACAGTTGTTTATAAACACTAGCCAGCGAACTCGAGAAACGTTTCTACGCCGCAAACTCAAATATACGATTATAATTCCGAAAAGTAATCCCAATGAACCTTACAAAGCTATGCCCTATTGATGTCACGACAAATATCGGCATAGCAACAGATATTAGGGCATACCAGATCGCTATGGGCGTCTAAAACTACCATGAGAATATTTAAGGGCTGCACTTGCCACGCAGCGACCAGTCTAGTCTAGTAACAATTACACAGTCAACACGACGGGCTCACTATTCAATCTTTAAGCTTCTCTCTACAGTCATCACTCATTGTAGCGATACACGTACATAATACTCAAACAATAAGCAATCTAACAGTCCAATAGTGATGCCACACTATCAGAATCCGTTAACTAAACGTAAATTAATAACGCGCTAGTATTAACATAATCGAGAGTGAAATTATCGAAATCATACTACATATATTAACGGATCACACCGACGACTATGGCAGCAGCAAACCGGTCCCCTTTAGAAAGCTTCGGTACGACAACAAGCAGCTCATACGCACCGACACTAAAGCAGCAACGATCCAGTCTCACTTAGACGGTTTCGGTACGACAGCGGCGGCTGTCACGCATACTAATACAGTGGCACTTCTCGGTAGGGAAGGAGTCACTCCTCACACCGCGGAGAGTACACACAACTCTCCTCAGCACGTAAACCAATTGAAGAAATATCTCCAAATTATTTGCTCACACCTTCATTCATACACTTTATTATATTTATCTTTAACTACTTATTATATTATTATATTTAATAAAGGAAAAACAAGAAACACTGCATGTATTATTGAATAATTACATTGCCCCTTCCACTTGCCAGCAACACCTCCACCCACCATCAAAGGGAGGTTTTTAGTCTGATCCCAGACAATCCATGCTTTTGTCATTTTTTCATTGATGAGATATAAAAATTAAAAAAAAAATTTGTAAATGGCTGATATTTTTAAAAATCATAATGTATTAATTGTTTAAGATGACAATGCAGGGTAGATGTAAGAAAGACGAATAATTTCAAACCACTATACTATTTTATTTTTTAAATACTATGGTAGTACAAAGGTTATATCTTTATGTATTAATTGCAATCTTTACAGCTATGTGCCAAAACATCTGCTAATAAATACACTGGGGAGTGTGTAACTGCATGGTATTTCGATATCTGTAATGGTCTTTTTTCTTGTTTATACTATAATTTTAATATGTGCATTCATTTTCATAATAAATAAAACATACATAGAAACTTTTATATATAAAAATTCATTATTTCAAAAACATGTTAATCGATCTATGTGTCTTGATTTGAAAAGGATGCCCTTATTGCCTTAAGTATTTTGACGAAGAATTTTTTCACTTACATTTAATAAGGTTTTTTAAATTTTTCTATTGCATAGATGTAAGTTAGAATATAATAAAATATAATATATTATGAAAATAATATAAAACCATATTTTAGATTTAAAAAAATATACTAATTATGCCGGTATTATTTATATTAAAAATATACTAAAAATACAATATAAGCCTGTAAAACCAAAATAACTTCATTGTAATAAGAACGAATATTACTGAATTACTATTCACGAATATTATTGAATAACAAAGAATATATGATATATTATTTTTCTTCTGCAAAAGAGTTCTGCAAAAACATTCTACAATAAACATTCAAACGCGCCTCGGATTAACTAAATCTAAACAATTCAGCAAACCTTCGAATATATAAAGAAAATACAATTCATAATCATAGCTGGCGAGAACAAAGGTTCAAGTGTCCAGCAAAAACACGTCATAAAACTAATGCGACGAGACATTTGACACGGCCTCGCCACAAAGCATCTATCGACGACAAGTCATAAAATTAGTCTGAAAAACACAAGCCAGATGATCCACTCAAAAATCACGCTACACCTAACCTTCACATCAATGAACGAACGTAACTCGCATGATTACAAGAAATGCATGCGATGATACTAGGATGGAGAGGGAAAAGCGCGGCATCAAGATCCCCGTCATAGAGGGGAGTTGAGCAAGACCCGCTCTCATTGGAGCCTCCATCTTGAAAAGACTCACTGGTGGGAGATCCCACCACTCAAAAGGTGCCGTAATTAGAAATACCATAAACTAAAGAAGAATTCTGATTGGACACACTAATAAGACTAAATCTCATTGGCGACGCCATGATCGACAAGACAGCTCTGACTGGCGACACCAAAAGAGAGGGAATTCTCACCGACCACCGCGTGGTCGAGAGAAGGCTTTAAAAAAGGCAACACTAGCACGGCACAATGACTTATCTTATCTTATCTAACAGAAAAAGAACAAGTCAATTAAAACGCAGTCAAACAATTAGAAAGTCCAAGCTAATTACGCAAGATTATTCTATTCAACACAAGTGATAGATAATCAAATCATACATTCGCAGCAGTGCAATACAAGTAAAAAAGGGAATCGAGAATTACGAATATCAGTTCGCACAGTATACACAATCAAACTGCAAGGAGACATACGAGGCAACTCAAAGAAAAAGTCAAAACATAGCTATACACAACTTGCAGACTCACGAGGTAACGTTCCATTCCAAATTAATTCTTAACTATATCAAGCTATACACGCCAATCTGCAGATACGTAAAGCTATCTGCAAAACATACCACAAGCAATTCAAGCCACGCCACGTGCTCATATACAAAGAAGCGCGGGGGTTTAGGACCTCGCTCATCTGTGTATATTATTTCATCTACACCTGTGTCACATATAGAGGACCTGCAAGGCATCAACTTCTTTCTGTGTATGCGACGTACGTGTGCGCTCAGTGACAAAAACACATTCAAATCAAGAAAAGCAAGCACTCAATCATAAATAAAACTCATTATAATTTAACTAATGCAATTATATAAATAAAACAAAACTAAATAACAAAACTACTCTTTATTGAATACATATACTATCTTTCCACTAGCCTGCAACCCTCCTATCAACATCGGGAGCTCACAACTAATCTTAGTTACTTGGCCCTCCTCGCCCGGTACTCTATGTTTAGACAACTGTATATTTAAATCTTTATTTATATATGTTTGGAATTCTAGCCACCAGAATTCTCTGAAGACCAAAGTGGTTGGATTAGACCGTACTACCGGATTAATGATGGAGAAGGGAAGGAACGATTGAGAGTTTAATGCATCAATTCAGTGTATACACAATTGGTTTTAGTGACTTTTATTTAAGGCTATGTTATATTGGTAGTTGTTTTTACCAGTCGTTGTGGGAATCGTTGAGCTCGTCGTGATTCCAACAGTTGGCCACATATTGTAGAACGTCGTCTGGGAGTGCAAGGCAAAAACTGGGCTGGTTATACTGGGCACGCCGTATTGTACTTTATGGGGGAGAGAATCCCAAGAGTCGCGAAGCCATAAGCGTTCTCATCGGCGATCTTTACATCGGAATGAATCGGCGTGATATAATTAGTGGGGACTATCTAACAGTATCGGCACCCTCTTCCTCGGTCTGATAAGAATCAAGTTACAGAGGCCTGACCGATAATATCGACGCTGTGCCGCAGTAAAGATACTGTGGCGGGGGCTACCAGACAGTATCAGCGCCCTCTTCAGCGGTCTGATAATAATCAAGCGAGTCGTAATAACAATAAATGGTATAAATAGCTTGCTGGTGATGCCAGACTATACCGTCGCCCTCAATGCGGTTTGACAAGAGTCAAGTTGTGGAGGGCGCACCGATAGCAATCCAGCAATAAATAATGAATAATGTAAACAAATAAATATGCCTTGCACGGATTCCCGTAAACAGACGTGTAGAACTTTTAACTGTTATGACTTGCTCTATTTCACTTTGACTTATTCAACAAAACTGCTTTTCTTCGTCGTGTGTTGCTCCTCATATATAATTTCGTACATTTAGAGTTTATAATTCTTGGAAATTCTGGCAAATTCTCGGAAAGCAAGCTTTAATAGATTCGAGAATCTTCCTTTGGTGCTATGCAGATACGGTATATGGCTTTAAATACATCGAGAATTTTCGTAACGACTACTTCAAATATTACGCATTATAATAAATTTAAATGTAATGGAATTATATATTAAACAAAGCAATGAATTCTCATTGCTGGGTACTTCAATCCTGAGCAATATAAATATAGATAACACGTTTACAATTTTTTATGAATAAATTTATTCAGCCAATCATTTTTATGTCAACATTATTTATTATTAATGTTGTAAATTTTACATTTCTATATAATGCATCAATTTAAAACATCTAAAAATTTTTTAATTGTATTTATTTAATATTGTACAACTAAAAATAAGTTATCACTTTTATTAGCAAAATAAAATTATATTATGAAATATAAAATTCAAAATACTTATTGACTATTAATATAAATTTATTTATTAAACAAACTGAATATTGCAAAGCTTTTAAAAATATAAAAATGGTTAATAATTCAACGTACTATTAATAAATTAAAAAATTCAAAATTATATTACACAACTAATAAAATTTTGAAATGTAAACTATAAAAGCATCGGAAATATTAGATTGCTGTTGTATGTATTTTATAAAATAACCCTATTACTTTAATGGTTTATATTTACAATTTTTAAAAGGAACATGAAAAATAGTACAGCATGGATTAAACTTTTATTATAAATAAATAATTACAAAATTAAATTAAATTATGCATTAAATAATTATGAGTAAAATTAGAATAAATTTTTAAATCATATTTTAGTATATATATATATATATTATAAATATTTATAAAATCAATTTTTTTGCAATAATTATTTTCCTACTTCTTAGTTTATACCTAATTCTTTTATTTTTTTTGCATAAAAATTATACCGAACGAAAATAATAAAAAATTTTCACATATTAAAAAGTAATTTTTTGTAAATGTTTTATATTTTTGTAAACAAATGTTCTATTAATTTCCCAAAAAAGCTATGACGCAGTATTTCTTGAAATCCTGATTTCCTGGTCCTCATAGTTTTAATTATCCATTTGTGGTAGTTAAATACCTTTGTATATATTCCCGGATAATATATGGAGGCACATTCCATCCCGGAGGATACAACACCAGCTAAATAACCATTGATGATACCTGGACCTCCAGAATCACCTTGGCAAGCATCGGTGACACCTGCACCCGCACAAAACATATTATCCGTAATCGGATCACCTTGGTATTTGATTTTGCACGCAGCGTGGTCACTTACAATAACCGTTGCTTTTTCCAAAATTAAAGGATAACCTTTATATTCCTATAAATTTTAGAAATAAAAATATTATATATTAATTGTAGATTAAATTACTTAATAATCAATTCAGCACCTTTTAAATGGTTAGAATAAATTATAATAAATAATAAACTAATGTACAATTACAAAATTATTTTTAAAAATATCTATTTTACTATTTTTGAGATAGATCGATATACATTTCTTATAACAAAATCTAACACCTTTAATAGTTGCTAAAATTAATAAATAGATTATATTTAATAATCTAATAACAAAACACATCGTTGTTTCTCTTTTGTGTATTAAAATAAAATGCTATCCTTAGTTTTATAGTATCATCAGAACCATAAAATTTGGATAAAAATATTAAAAAAAATAAAATACCATTAATACAAAACAAAGTGTTGCTCGAGTATTTTGTAAAAATAAAATATAAAATATAAGTCTAATACAAAATGAAATCCTTATATTTTTAGAAAATTAATTTTCAAATAAAATGAATATATCACAAATATTATTTTTATAGTTTAGTATATCTAGTAGAATTTAGTTTAAACAATATTAATAAAAAATACAGTCTTACATTTTTTTTATCATTATTATGTAAATTATATTAAATCTTAAAGAACTCGACCATAAAAATTTATATATAAAATTTATCATACCAGTAACTACAAAAATATTAAATATACCTTTACCATTATAATTTATAAATTAATAATGTATTGTCTATCCATTGATTAATTTGCATCTGTAATATGTATTAAGAAACTTTACATAAAAAGTACCGTATTGATAATCTAATCATGCATTAATTTAAATATTTAAAAAATCGAATGTAATTGTAATGTATTTGTAATGAATGTAATGTAAAAAAAAATCGAAAATGTAAAGAATTATGTAAATATAGTATATTTGTTATAGAAAAGAATTAATTAAATTAATTGAAAAATATATGAACTATGAAGTCAAAGTATGATAGAAAGGCAATTAATTTTGAAATGTCTAATTTTAATTATTGTTTAATGATATGAATTTGTTGGAAAGTGATGTTATTTTCTAGCTCGAACTGCCAGTGTTTCGATAGCTTTAATAATTTACCGCCCGCTCTAGCAGATGCTTGAATGGGAATCAAGTGGAAGGATTATAGAAAGGTGTAATATGTGCAAACTTCTGTAACATATAATTTATTAACAATTACATTTATAATAAGCATGGTTTACTTCATATAGAAGAGTGTAAAACTCTGTCTTATCTCAATGATGAGGTTGCTTCTTGATGGTGACGATGTCGTGGCTTCTGCCAGTGTTGTAAGGACTAGCAGTACTGTGCTCACACTCCTGTGTAGGACGTGTGACCTTGAGAATGTCTATACGAACGAGTGGCCTCTGCTCATATTGCCAGGAATTAGCAGATCTGTGCTCACACTCCTGTGTAGGACGTGTGGCCTTGATAATGTGTATACGAATGGTATACCTGGAGACTATGATTATTTGTGGCAGTGTAATTTCCCGTCATGTAGTCAGCATCCTTGACTGTTTGTATGTGTGTGGCACGCTAGGCAATTAGACTTGTATCTCGTTGGATGGCAATGTAAGTTTCCTTTAATGCAGTCAGCACCCTTGACTGCTTGCATGTGTGTGGCCTGCTTGGTAATTAGATTTGTGTCTCGTTGATGGCTTCATTGTGTGATATAACTGAGCGATTAGTGTGTGGACGAAAACATTAGCTGAATAACGTTATAACTGTTGACCGATTGATATACAATGAGACTATAAGCCTGTTGAATACGCGCACGAAACGGAAGGCTTGGTCATTCCGTGGCGGCTCTGCTGAAACATACTTACCGTTCCATCACTGTCCTGCTGAGAGCAGACCGAGACCAGTGCCATGGCTTCTTCTGATATAGAGTTCACTGTTGATCGGTTCACTGTGGTCGGTTGACTGCGGTCGGATCACGGCAAGAGGTTCGCAGCAAGAGAGCTTCAGCAAGAGGGCGAGGCTCGCCATGTGCTTGTCTTATATATCCACGTGGCGGCTTACTTATCTGGCAACAAAGCATCGTTGTTGTTGCACTGGAATCTTACATGAGGCGCACAAAGAAAAATCTAGAAGTTTCGAGAATTCGACGAAAAAAAACAAGGCGTAATAACTTTAGAGAATTCTAGGCGATGTTATTACTCGAAAACCATATAAACACTGCAGGTCATTTGAAACCAAAACATAACAAGTATACGAAAATTCTCGTCCAAAGTGTTTACGGAAATCTGAGATCTAAAAAGGCCGGCGATACCGACAATCGCCGGCCTTGAAAATTGCTTCAATCCCGAACAGAATTACTACAAAAATTTGCTCAAGAATTGATTACATATCTTATGAAACAGTTGTGCTATTTTTAAAATTATTTTTTATTTATAATAAGAAAAAAACATTGCCATAAATATATATTAAATTATTTTTAAGTGTAAAATAAAGGAAAAAATTTAAATATTAAAATTTTTTATGCAGATTTTTTTATGTAAATAAAATGTACATTTTTGTTTGATTTTATATTTTACATGAGAATTATAATTTTCTTTATTTTAATATTAAAAATCTTTTTTACATACAAATATCATACAAATGATTGAATATTATTTTTTTATTTCAATAATTTCAACCTCTCAAATTAACTTATAACATTAACAACTTAAATGAAAATATAAGCGAGGAAATTAGAAGATAAATGGAAATTAAGAGGCAATGAGGAGAAAAATGAATGAATATTGAAATTAATTTAATAACTAAATAAAAAAATTTAAGAAATACTTATCTAATTTCGTACGCAATAAAAAGATTTAATACAAGTACAATGTCTACATAAATGTTTTATGAAAATGGTTGCAACTAAATGAATTAAGATATAATAAGAGTATACAATATTTGTTTATGAACATATTACAACTTTTATTAAAATATTGTTTATTATAATTTATGCATAATGTAGATATAATATACATATATACATAATTTTAAAATAAATAAATTGCAAAAATATTAAAAGAGGTCAAAGGATTGAAGAAAAATATTCTTTTCAATGCGTACAAACAAACTCAATCTAAATTTAGTTTTTTGAATAAAGGAATATATAGATACTAATTATAATAGTAATAAATAATAGTTGAATTTAGTTATTAAATATATGATGACCTTATAGAAAAGCAATGTTTTTAGTATTACATTCTTCTTCCGGGATATCCTAATGGTATAAATGGATACAACAGAATTTTAATAAGGACATTTTGAAATAAAATTAATCAACACAATATTTTAAATATTCTGTTAATTGTGTAATTAAACCTAATTACATTTTGTTCAAATACTTATAGATATAGAACGAAAACAATGAAAGAAAAGCATAAAAGCTTTTAGCAAACATTTAGTGCAATATATATATATATATATATGTTGAAATTTCATTCGGATAAATTAAGCTACGCACTATTAAATTATCATTTTGTTATTTAAAAAAGTAAAATTTAATTGGTCATGAGTATATATTTTGTTGAAATATATAAGTATGAGTAGAGTAAAATGTAATTCATGAGAAATAGAATACTAGAATTAAAACGTAAAGAGAAATGAAATATACTATGCACATTAAAAAAGATAAGTATTGAATCAAAACTTAATACAATTGAAAAATAAAATATACCACTGCGTATATTACAACATCTAAGAATATAAGCGACAAATGCACTCAGTTAAGCATAGAAGAAAGATAGCAAGACTAGTTACATCAATAAGTAAAAATTGATGAAATGTAAAGATAAAATTGGACTCATAAAAACAGGTACTAAACTTAAAATATTAAACATACGGTAATAAGGTTTTTGAAATTCTATTACAAATTAATTTTAAACATATATCACATGCTATGTATATCATGTGTATGAGAAAAGAATACGTGCATATAAAAATATGAATTTTCAAGTATCTATATCTATATCAATATATATATATATATATATATATATATATATATATATTTATATTTACATGTGCATAATAAGCGTACGTATTGACGTATATGTATGTATATTAAATATGAATTAACGTAAGAATGGTCAATAAACGATCTCTCTGAACCGTAGAAGAAGCTATGTAACTTTCAACTCAGATTTATGTGTGAAAAACTTCGCACAGAAAAAAGAGCGCGTGTCACTTTGTGAGTTATAAATGCTTCATTACACATTTTTTTCGTGTACTTTCTTTTAATATATCTACTTCTTAGTACATTTTTTCATACCTTCATTCTTGGACTTTTTTAACATGTCTCTGTATTCGATACCTGCTTCCACATCCCTGCAACTGTAATTTATTATATCTGTGCGGGCATCTTGACTGATATATATATAGTATGCTCGTGCAGTATCTATAATTGATTTGCAGTCGCAAATGTATTAAACTCACAATTCTATTGAAGAAGAAATGTGTTAAATTCACAGTCACTACAAACATATAATTCTTGCACATGAAATGTAGAATAATCGACTCCTGTAGTAGTATTACTATAATAGCTTGTTTATTATACTATTCCACAATAAATTTTATTTAGAAATTTCAATAAGTTTTAATTTCTATTATTTTCAAAGTTTGATTTATTTATTTAAATAACTGTCTATTTTTAAGTTGATTAATAAGTTTCAATTTTTCAATTATAACAATAATTGAAAAAGCTCAATAAAATAAAAAAAATCAAATTTCAGATTACGAAATGAACCTAGAGCTCGACTATTATAATAACATTAGTAGTTGTATTTACAGATTTGTGATGTATCATTTTATCAATTTAATATATGCGTTAAGTTATATTTATGCATTGAGTTTATATTAACATATAATATTAAGTTTGCGATTTTTCCATAATTTGAAAGAATATAATACAATCACATAAAACTGTAACATAATTTATCTGTACACAACACATCATTCACAAAATTATACGTTATATGAAGTCGTCTATTCCTTTCACCAACTTATATAGGTGCATTGATGGGAGGATATTAATATCATTGCCTTATCGATAATATTTTTGTTATTTATTTTTTCTACAGAATACAGAAATCCTCTATATTTAGTAGTTTCAGTAATTAACTGATATTTTTAGTTCATTTGAAAAGGTCAGTGGTCTCGTTAATTCCCAAGATAGTGAGTTTATCAATTGCTACCTCTTAGTTTACGTCTAAAGGTAGCTGCTAACTAAATAACGACAGTTTCAATTTTTTATTAACACATTCTTTACATCCAAAAATTATATTCTTGGGTGAAGTGCTCATCAGTGCCACGGTTTGTATTCTAATTGAATGATATAATTTCAATAACGATAGATAAATTCAAATTTTTAATTGCAGCAGTATTTGTTTATTGAATAGAAGTTAATAAGCGAAACTATTCTTGATAAGGATTGTAATAACAATTTTTTCTATTAAAAAATTACTTTAATGTTAATATCAAGCGTAACAATAAAATGGAAACAAACAAATAATATTATAAATAAATTAATTTCTACAACAAGAGTAATATATCTATCGTACATAATATATATTACGTTTATCGTATTGCGTTAAAACGTATAGTTCTAATAATTTCAAATATATTGTAAATTAAATGTGAGTATAGTTAAAAGATTATTCTATTTTGTAAGAATTTTAATGAGCAAGTTTATGAAAGTATATACATGAGCAATAATAAATAAATAAAAGTACACGTAAGAGTTATAAAAGAAATTAGATAAAGGTAAAAATAAATATAAGAAACATACAATAACACCAATAATATAACCGATTAAGCATAAGATAAATTTCAACGGGCAAGGAGATTATTGAACCTGAATTCTTCATGAAAGTCTGAATTCTTCAAGAGACAATGATTATTATTATTATTGCCTATGTCCCTACAGTTCCACTACTTTTTGCACGTAATGATTAGCAGTATCAATATAACAATGGTTGCTAGCATCAGTGGCAATGAACGTGGTTAGGCGATGGCACATCTTATTATTTGTGTGTGCATTATCAAATGATTCATTGTAAATGTTTATCTCAATTAAATAGAAAATGGATATATATATATATATATATATCAATTTAATTTTTATTAAAATAATTCAATTAAGTTTTTATTTAAGTGAATTCAACTTAGATTGTTTTATTTAAAAAATTTTAATATTTTTATTCAAATTTGTCAAAGTAAAACAATCGATAAAATAATTTTTAATTCTGATAATTTAATAATTATGAATTAATAAATAAAGATTTTAATTATTTAACTTCATTTCTATTTCATAATTATTAACAAAAGTTATGTCAATTGGTCATTATATCATTAACCGATTTGTATGTCTATATTTTGAAGCACATAATAGTTTAATTTGAAATATTTTAGCAAAAATATTTAATCAAAACAACTAATGAAAAAAATTATGTAAATATAATTTAAAAAATTAATTTAAATTATACTTGTAGAATAAGTTTTGAAAATTCTGTGAATTTAATCAAATGAAAGAAAATATGAATTAATGATAATTCACAATTAAATATAAAATTTTTAATAAAAATTATAGATTATAAAATATCAGTAAATATTGTTAAAATTATTATTTGGTATATTCCAATTTAATATTATGATAATTTGGATTATACTCACGCCTAATTTTCCAAATCCAGAAATTATCATTAAATCTCCAGTCTTCGGTGGTACTATAGCTAGAGGAACAGATTTTTTGTGTCGGTTAAACACAATAAGTTTAGCTAGCTAAATATTACAAATAAACAATTTATATTTTAATATATAATTTTTCTAGAATTTACAATGCTAATCTTTCTCTGTAACTTAAATATATTTATTATAAAATACCTTGATTAGAGCAATGTCATTGTCTTCAGTTTGATTATCATATTTCGGGTGTACAATTATATTACTAATTTTATGATGTTCTCCACCAGTTGACACATCTGCTGATCCCACAATAATTGACCAAACTGGTTTAGATTTGCTTTAATTATGTTATTATATTAATTTAATGATCATACTAATTATTATAGAAACTCATTTAAAGTAGTGAACTTATGAATTTTTTTTTTAACTTATTTATTTAATTAATTATTGATTTATAATTAAAAAAAATTTATTTATAATTTATTATTTAATATTAATAATATAATATAAATTGACTTACTAAATACAGTGAGCAGCTGTTACAATCCATAATTTTGAAATTATAGTTCCACCACAAATCAAATGACCATTTTGAAGAAGCTGGGCCTGTAATATTTATTCAATATGCAATTTTATTTTTACATTATAATAAACATATTTTTAATATTTTTTAAAAATACTATGTTTTAAAATGACTACGCAATAATAAATATTTTTAATTTACAGTAGAATTCGATTTACTTTTATTATATGATTTATTATTAATAATACTATAATATTAAAATTTATACGAATTAATTCAATTTAATTTTGACAGAAAATATAAGTAGATATATCCAGATTGAAATAAATGAATAAAATGTATATATTTTAACCTAATATTGAGCACATATTAGCTCAAAAACGACTAAACCAAACTTATAATTAAAAGTTAGAACATTTAAAGAAAACAACTAGTATTTTTGTATTTTTTCAATGAATATTTTTAAAATAATTTTTAAATATCTAAAATTGATGAATGTTTACCTTTTCATACAATGCAAAATATATTGAAAAATAAAATCGTAATTTTAATCTAAATTTTAGTCATATATATATATATGTAATTAGAATATTTTTATATAAATTCAAAAAATAAATGAATATAACGTATCCATATTTGAAAATGGCATATGTATATCATGAAATCTTGGTAACCGAAGAAATTAATTGTAAGTCATTAAAAATCGTTAATAACATATTCAATAAATTTTTACTAAATTATTCATAATTTAATATTATATTGTGTATATATATATATATCAATTTCAAATGGATTTTTATTCTAAACAATTGTTTTCATACTTTTCCTAAATTAAATTTTTGTAATAAAAATAGATTTATACAGCTTTCAGAATTATTTTAATAAAAACTGTAATTTATATATAATTTTACAACTTACTTTACATAATACTTACTTGATACGGTAAACTATTTATAGAAGCATTTATACCGCCAACTATTCTATTTTTCCTATGGTAAAATTCGAAATCATCCAAGTTGTCCAAACCAACTTTTTATAAATCAATACTTAAATTATTTATGTTATAATTGATGTTTACATGCATATATATATATATATATATATATATATATATATATATATACATATATATAATAAATTCATAAGAACTTACCTACAAAATATATATTTATGCAAATAATCAGTAGCAAAAGACAGAGAAACTTCATATTGAATGATAAAATAATATTTTTTTGCTCTCTGTATACTAATAACTAAATTACAATTGTAAGCATGGATATTATATATATATATTATATTCCTAATTTCAAGTCATAAAATGTGTTTTAATATTTATTTATATTAATAACTAAACTACACTAGTAAGTAATAAATTGAAATTAATAAAATATGTTTTAATATTTATTTTATATTAGTGGTTTCATTATTCTTTTTACGAACACTTGTGTTATGATCGCATTTAAAGATATTTTTGGTACTACCTTTATCTATTAAACTATTTAATTTAACTGTTTTGTGAAGATAAGGAATAAGAATCATCAGTTATTTGAGACTATAAAAAGTTAAAAAGCTGTATATCTAAGGTAGAAATTAATTCCCCGTAGTAAAAATATTTATTTGACTTACAATATTTAAATTGTTTATTAACTTGAACTGGAAAAATAAGAATTACTTTTATAACAATCTTTTTTAAGAAAAAACATTTTAAAATAAATATACAATAAACTTATAAGCGCATACGGAAAGATTAATAAAAATTGAAATTCTCAAAACCTGCATTAGAATGAAATCTACGTTAGAATTCAAAACAAAAAGTAGAAATTTATTTATTGTCTGTAATACAACAGCAAATTTATTATCGACATTATTGAGATTTTACAAAGAAAATTCTAAATTAAAATATAAAACTATAATTTTAATTCGAACCTAAACTTCCTACATTCATTTTCCAAATTAAAAAGTCTATTTATCTAAATGTTTCATCACGTTGACAGTATAAACATTAAATATATATTTTCATACAACGTTACTTCATTTATATGTTGTAAATATGCTAAATTTTTTGCTATTTTCTATAAATTTTCTAACGTTATAGAATAATTTAAAATTAAAAGATTTCATTTATATATTTTCTAATTAATTTAGTATTTATCCCAATTAAAAAATATATACACTATGTGCATATAAAATGTATAATATGTATAATAGTTATATCTTATTAATTTCCTTATAAAATTATTCAAATTGATTATTTTGAAAGTTGATAAATTTCAATGTAGTATAAATTATTTTATTGTGAATTAATTTTTTTATAAAATAATTAGAATTGCTATTTTGATTACAATGCAAAAATTTAATTAAAAATTTCATCATTCCTGTAGCATTATTTATTGTGTTAAAAAATTTATAACTTTTAATATAATGATAATTTAATATATCAAATACAATTATAGTCAATCATATAAAATATTATTTAATAGTGTATTATTTTATATATAATTTAAACAATACAAGTATAGTAATGAAATATTTGAAACATTAAGAAATAAGTGTTTGTACTGAATAATGCTAAGATATGTTATCAAAACTCATATTTAATATTTGATTCTTTACTGTAGATGTTTATTTGTTTAGTGTATTTAAAAATTATTTTCATATAATTTTCTTATTTACAAAATTAAAATAATATATGAATAATAAACACTTTATAGTTTTGCTGCACAGTTTTCTTTATAATTTTATTATTGTCATTTTATACATTCTTACTCTTATATTTATTTTTTCACATTGCATACAAAAATAGTTTCATTATATTTTTATTACATTTTACAATCGAATAAATTCATGTTTTTTCTTAAATAAATATTTTTATTCATATAACATATTTATGTCACTGAAAAATTCAAATAACAAATCTGTTTACATATTAAAAAACTATAATTTCATAAAAAATTTAAAAAATCAAAATTCTTGAAAACCATAGAATCAACCTTTTGATTATTTTATCCAATAAAAATCAGAAATAAAATTCAACAATGTTTATATTTATACTGATTTAATCCACTTTTTGACTTCACTTTTTATTAATTCTCTATACTTTTGTAAACCCAATTCTTTTGTGTTCATTGCTTTTTAATTGTTCTAAGATTTACAAATTAAATTCGGTATAATTATCATTCATACATTCCTTAAATTCATATTTATAATGTCCTTAAACTTACGTTTATTATTTCATCCTTTAAAACTTTTTCATTTAAAAAATGCTCATTGTTTATTTCATTCTACAACTATATGAAAATATTTCGAAATATTAAGTGTTCAACAGTTGGAGGAATCTAAATAGATAAATAAGGTACATATACAATCAGTTGAGCTTCTAATTCATGATACTATTCTGTAGATATATAGATATATAAATTATGATTATTCAAGGTTATAAGAGTATAAAGTTATAAGTTATATTAATTTGATATCAAATTAATATCAATAGCAAATACTAACATAGTATGCTTAATATTGAATTTTATGCTGCAACTGAATTATTAAAACTTCTAATTGTGGAATAATAAAAATACTAATTATTTTATTGACTACTACACTAGTTTATTGTTATTTTATTAATTATTATAACAAAAATGTTAATGTCGTCATAATTTCTACTTTTTTAAACATTTCTTTTGTATATCGCGAATTATGTACATTATAGTTATTTATACTTTGTTTATTATAATTTAATTTTTATTAATTTAATTTAATTTCAAAATATATAATGATAATTTATATTATTTAATTAATTAAAGGTTTCGAATAATTTCAACTGCTAGTTATAATTAAAGAAAATTATGAAGATGCTACTTTGGGACAATATATTAAACATTCAATTAATAAGTGCGTGATATTTATTTTATAAATTTAAAATATTAATACTTGTAATATACAGAGGAACTTAAACTAAATAAAATCCACGTAAAAATAGTAAATAAGAAATTTTAAAATGTATGTATAAAATTCTAAATATATATAAAATTGAAAAATAATAAGAAGCAATAAATTTTTAATTTAGCGACAATTTAAATAAAAATTAAGGTATCTATGATATCTAAAATGAATGTAAACTTTAAAATATAGACAAACTTGAAGCGAATTAAAACGAAAGAAAAAAGCATCCATCAGTCTTTTGTCAATTTTATAATATTTTTTCATTATAAAAATTATTATTATAAAAAAGATAATATAATAAGCAACTGAAAGTAAATATTTTCTCGCTTAATTATGAATTATGTATTTTATTAAATCATTTAATTCATTAAGAGCAATTGCCCCATTAAAATTATTGCACTATTTAATTTGTGTTTATTGAAAACAAGAAATAAAATAGAGTTTTTTTTCAGTTAAAACCCTCGATTATTATTTTCTGCAATTTAATGTAAAGAAATTTTAATAATAGTCTGTATTAATCTATTTACAATCGTAGCTACCTAAAACAATGCATTCATTCAATTAATATTATTATTATGACATATAATACAGGTACGTCGGTACAAGTTTAAGTGAGCACATATAAACTTGTAATTACTGAGAAAATGTATGTATAATGGTCTGTGTACTTTTCTGATCTTCTGTATTCTCCGCTCTCCCCTCATTGACATGTACATATCCACAGGTGTTATTTAACCATGGGTTATTTGGATTAATGTTATTTAAATTAAGTGTAATGATAAGAAAATTATAAAATATATTAAATTAATAACAAATATAAAGAGTGATCCCTTTTAAAACAATTCAGTGCCTATTCTATAATTCATAATGTATTTAAAGACTAATAATTAAACAAATTTTATACATAAAATTTTATGCTTATACATGTAATATTTAATTGTGGCATTACAAATATATAAATAATTTTAGTAAAATTATGTTATATAAATTATTAAAAAATGTTAAAAATCCACAATTTTCTAATTTTTATAAAATAATAATTTTAACTTTTGCATCCTTTTTTTCGACTTCTGTTTCTATAATATTTTGTTAAATATAAAAATGAAACTTAACACGTACTAATGAAAATGATAAATATGTATTTTAATCAACAATTGATAATAATTAATAGATAATGGCATATATATTTTTTTTAAACTACCCAAAAATGTCATGATTTAATTTATATAAAATACAATAAATCCCTACTATCTATCGAATTGTTATGACAAAGTTTCTCGGAAGTCCTCGTTATAGATTTATTCATTCCAATCTATTGTACTATAATAAGAACAAAAAAATTTGAAAAAAATAAAATCCGAATGTGTATATGAAGTTCTTGATTATACTTGGCAATTAAATAAGTGGAATTAACTGATTTTTTCCAAATTTTTTTGTTCTTATTATAGTACAATAGATTGGAATGAAGTTATATTTAATTACAAATGAATACTGAATGACTTAATAATAATTAAAAAATATAAAGTAAGTATTACGGATTGCAGTATTTTTAAGCGGACTAAAAGTGGCAGAGGTATAAGCTCGCGAACATTTGTTTGTAAACCGAAAAACTCGAATATACGACTATAATTCCGAATCGCCATTTTACAAGTTAACTCCACGTGCATAGAATTTATATCCAACACACACAGAGCGACTCCAACACACGCAAGCTACGCAATTACACGCGTTCTTGCGTATCATCAATTCAACTGAGATCGACTCCAACACACGTAAGTTATGCTATTACACACGTTCTTACGGATCACCAACACACGAACTAAGTAAGTAGCATATCAAGATAACGGTATCATTGCCCAGAAAGAGTGACGTCACAGTATCGCTCCCCTCTCACCGCGCTCCAGAGGCCGCTCCAGCTTATCGGTAGCGGCACCGGCGGCGTCAAGACCCCTTCCTAAAGAGTGACGTCACAGTATGGCTCCCCTCTCACCGCGCCCCAGAGGTCGCTCCAGCTTATCGGTAGCGGCAGCAGGTGGCGCCAAGACCCCTTCCTCAAGAGTGACGTCACACCAACGCTCCCCTCTCACAGCGCCTCAGAGGCAGTTCCAGCTTATCGGTAGCGGCAACCGGCGGCGTCAAGACTCTTTATCGGCGCATCTCCCTCCACCACTACGAATCACAACCACGAGTAGGAGAATCGCGCGCACCACCAAGAATACACTCACAAGATTATTATCACAGATTACCTAAAGAAACTCTCGGCTATTCATTGTATCCTACTTTCAATCTCACCTCAA